ATTTAAAAAAAAAAAAAAAAAAAGAAACCCCTCTTATTTAAATTATCGTGTGGATGCTGTGTTTGTTTTTTTTTTAATGGAGTTTTCGCTAATCAGTCACTGTATAAGATAAAAGTAATGGCAATGGTGCTTTAAAAGTAGTGTTGTAGTAGAAGTTTGGCAGGCCCGTGACTGAGTGTATCACTACGAGTATGAGCAATTTAAAAGGACAATAACATTAACATGATAATATTGTATGTTGGACTTTTCATCCATCGTAGAATTAAAAGATTACCGTTCAACTAACATTCCTGCACAATTTGTCTGTACTGTAACTGTAACTCAGTTCAGATGGATACGCCAACCCACACACCATCATGTCAAACATCTCTAAATTTCGATTGAATTGGATTCAAATCAAATGTTCTTATGATGCTTTTTAAATATTTTATTTTATTTCTTAAGATAGCTTGTTATATTTTAAATAACTAACCCATAATGTACCTAAAACTAAAAGGCATTATCATTAGTGGTGTGTCACGTTGATGGGATGTGGGGATTTATGAATTATAATCAGATGGGGTAATACTGTCAAGTGAACCAATGAAATGTAACCCTCTGTCTGCACAACAGGAAGTAAATAAGTGCACTTAGCAATATTCAGGTTATCCCTTACAACTCTACTTGCTGAAACTGAATCAAAATCAGTCTGGTGATTCAAATTTTTAAAAATAAGTATTGAAATTGAAAGCTAAGTGAGTTCTATATGCAATATTTGATATGTGCAACAAATTGTATAAGACAGATCCGTGGATTGAAAGCTAAGAGAATTCTATATGCAATGTTTAATATGTGCAACAAATTGTTTTAGAGAGATCCATGGAGGATTCTGAAGTAAATTTTATTCTTCCCTTAAATGTTTCTTAAAGTTGTTTGACATTTAGGCTTGTTTCCAAATTCGTTAGATATCTGAAAGTATAAGGAGCAGTAGTACAAGCACAGCAGATTTTGGACACTATATCCTTGATTTGGGCCCTATATCCTTGATTTGGGCCCGAAAAAAAAAAGGGGGGGGGGGTGGGTGGTTTGGTTGTCTATTAATTAATTATAACCATTTTCAAAACAGTTTATATAATGTTCTTAGTCCTGATAAAAAATGCCTAAAACACAACAAAACAAAGACAGGTTCAGAGGGCCAACACGCTACAAAGCTTGGGGTTCAGAAGTCAATTGTATTATGTCATCCAAATCTTTGTGAAAACATCAAATCTTATCTTTTAGGTAAAGTTGCTGCCAAATTGTGAGTACACCATCTGTTGTATTCACTTATCAAATGATGCATAAGTTTCTAAAGTTGTGCACATATAATGACAGTTTTTAAGTCACTAGAAATATACACATAATTATGTTACAAGGGCACAGTAACAGTCTCATTTATTGGAATTTATTTTGGGGAGTATGGAGGCACTCATGAGATAATTACCACACATTACTTGTACAGATGTAGGAATGTAAATCAGGATAAAACCAGCTACTCCATGTAACAGGGAGAAAAACAAATGATAAAGCTCTTCAAATATAAAAACAAAAAATGTCAAAGTAGTCACCAGTTTCCCTTTTATTCCTACAAAGTAAGAGTTTAAAATATACCTCATTAAATAATTTATCAACAATAATAAAAGGAAATAATTAATATGCAATTAATGCATTTAAAAATAATCACCATTTGTTGTATTCTTCAATCATCTTTTGCATTTTAGTGGAGAACTTAAAGATGGTCATATCTTTATGTGGTGTGTACTAAGTACTGACAGCGTCATCTAATATTCAAAATTGAATTAATAAGACTATACTCTTTGTCTTTCAAGATTAATTTGTAGGTACTGCAAGCTTCTTACTGTGATAGGACTAACTCTTTTTTCACTTACATCAGTACTGAATTCAGATTCTGTGATTAAATATATGTTCCTAATAGGCAATGAGATTACAGTTGAATACACAAAAAACATCATTTGAGAGAAAAGTGTATTGGTAAATTATAATATATAGTCCTGAAACATATGTACAAAGTATACAGAGGGCAGAAGGGGCAGCACACACATTGAGGTCAACATAACTTAGACATGTGTTTGGACCGTGTTGTAGACTGGCAGCAATACAAACACATTTCAATAAATCACTAACTTTAAAAGACCAGCAAGTCGTGGGAAAAATATATCTTAGGCAATAAACAGATGGTTTCATGTTGGAAGTTTTGTGCAACAGATTGAAAGAAATAAATGAATATCATGAATAGTCTCAAAAAAAAAAGAAACATTAAAAAATAAATTTTAATTTTAAATTTAAAAAAAAAATGAGTGAAATGGGGTTGAAATTTCTAGTTAGAAGAAAGTTTTTAAATTAACTTTAAAGAAATAATTGTATTAATTCAGCTTTAACCCTTTCCATGCCAGGGGTTTTTCCACATTTGTGCCTGACTAGTTTTCGGCCAGTGGGAGTATTTTAGGGTGCTCTTATCTATTAATGGATTTTAAATACCTTTTTTGAGCAAGATAGCTGTATTTCATATCAAATTAAAGGAAATTAGACAGTGAATAATAATATTTAAAAGTATAAAAAACTTATCAGTTTACTAAATAGTCTGTGTAGCTGGTATATTGTGGATTGACACAAATGTGACCAGTCCAATCGACAATATATCCTGGATTGGCAAGAAAAGAGTTAAGACATAACATCTTCTGGTTAGCTGATATCTACTTTCATAACTATACAACCATCAACCACCGGTAGGTTTCTCAAAACATAAAAAAGTAAAGCAGTATTATTTATTTTTATAAATTCACTCAACTTCCAAGAAATATAAATATAACATGTTTTTTCTTTCAAAAGGTGATTTCAATATGTTATTTGCAATGCTGTCACAAACGCCTAGGGTTATAAAATAAAATGAACAAAAACAAATATACAGTGTAATTATTTATATTACACTTCAGAACCATATTTTTTCTTACATATAATGTTGAAAAGCAACTTATAAAAGAAATATAGTTATCTCTTAGAACTAAATAGCTAATTAGTAATAAAATAATAAACAGTAATGTTTTCCTTCATTTTTTTTTATACAACTTCAAATTTTGCATCAACATTTCTGACTAGGATAAAAAAACAAAAATGTAAAAAAAAAAATTACTTTTTAAAATTTTCTCATCAAAAACAACAAAATTTCATGGTTATTAGGTCAACAAAACTGAATTCAACAAAGGTTTACTCTGCCATGTGCATCTGAATAAGAACATTTTGATAAAGATAATGTTGCTCATATTTTACTGACACTATAACAAAATTATGTTTTAAAATATAAATTGAGTTGTTTTTATCATTTGAAAAGAAAATAAAGTTAATACCCACCCCCACTTCCCCCCAAGTTGATTGACCCTTATAAGGTTGGAAAAAAAATAAAATATCTTTTTAAAAAGCCATCACCTGTAGCAATAAGTACCGTAATTAAAATGAAACAAAATTAGTATAAAGTTGTCTGCATCTAATCAAACAGGTGGTGCATAGTATATTTTAAAGAAATTATTAAACAAATCTTTCAACTTTAAAATTCTTTATTTCCGTAGTCAAACAAAAAAGAAAAAAAAATGAGTTTTATAGATTGATATAAATTAACTCACATTATATCAGGGTAATTAAAATGTTCTTTTTAATATTTCACCTGTTTTTTTTCCTGCAGCAGAATTTCTTTATTTTAAAAAAATTGAATACATAGCATCAGGAGTCTTAACAACAAAATGACTCCATCATTTAACAACAGATTTAGTACCGGTACCATCATTGTACCATTGGGATCAAACAAGCTCATTCATTGTATGGTAAATGTAAAAATTGCTGCTCAGTTCTATACAAGCACTGTATCTGGAACCAAAAAAATCCAATTAAATGCTCACAGCCAGCAAGACACATCCAACTTTGTCCAACTAGTGGACAGAAGGCGCCGGTGGAGGAGAAGATCCATCCTGAAGATTAAGAAAGATTTGAATAGTCTAAAAAGGTGTAAACTTCATAAGAAATGGGCTCAAGAAACTTTGATAAATGACAGTAGCCCAATCTAAAGTTTCAAGATAATAACTGTTCATTTTCTCAGTATCTCTAATACTATATCGAGGGGGAAAGATATTTAAAAATAGATTCCAGTGATGCTCATTTTAATAGAAGTGGAGTAACACAAATTATTAAAGATTAAAATTTTTTTAAGAAGATTAAAAAATTTTCAAAACTTTAGTAATAAAAGTAGCATAGTTAAAATGTATTTAAAAAATTGAATGCCAAGCCAAAATGCTTAGTTCAGGGGTTCTCAACCTTCCTAATGACGCAACACTTTGTTCCTCATGTTGTGTTGACCCCCAACCATAAAATTATTTTTGTTGGTACTTCATAAATATGTTTTCCGATGGTCTTAGTCCCAACCCACAGGTTGAGAACCGCTGGCTTAGTTCAAAAGCAGATTTAACTCAGCAGAAGAACAAATCATTATCATGGAACTGAAATAACACTAAGAAAATAAAGAGATGTTCCAACTATGTATCATATTTCAATGTCAATGACTAACCCCTGACGATGGTGCAGGCTTCTCATCTCCCCTTAATCGTAGAGTTTTAGGCCTCAGTAGGTACAGCAGTGTAGCCACCACAACCCATCCTAACATCAGCAGCATATAGCCCTCTGTGCAGTTAGGGGCTTGTGGATTATTGGGCACTAAGAGTAGATAACAATCTAAGTGAACTGATAGTTTTAACATTATTTCCATAAGTCATTGCTGCAACTCTCTAAACATGTAAGTACTATTTTTAAGAAAATGCTTAAAAAAAAAAAAATTATTAAGATCTAGGGCTTTTCCATACCTTGTAAAAATATTTGTAAATGTGCATTAGTGGAAATTATATTTTCTGTCACATGATCCTAACCAACAGTTTAAAAGTTTGTTGTAGTTATTTGGTGTCTTCTTTAAAAAAATTTTTCCATCTGCTATTTTTCAAACAAAGTTCATACATTTACTATTTAAAAATCCATGTAATTCAAACTAATTCTTCTACATCAACTATATTTTTTGTAAAAAATTTAGTCACCATGTTAAGTTATAAAGAAAATTTGCCTACATTACACAGTGAAAAAAAGGCTTTACCACAAATAACAATGCACACTATTCTTATTTAAAGGCAGGCAGTATATTTTTGAGATATTAATTCAAACATAAAGTTCCTATTTGTAAACCTTATGTTCACCTGACTTGGTGCTTAAAGTTGTTAAATTATAATCAGGGAAAGACAGACATAACAGGAACACGCACAAAAATTAACAAAATATAACAAATAATAATAATAATTATATACCGTATATACTCGCATATAAGCCTACATCGCATATAAGCCATTCCCCTAAAACTGCTTTAAAATGGCCAGTTTTGCAAAAACCCGCATATAAGCCCACCATACAATTGTCTAATTTTGCTCCATATTTTTGGTTCATAGAAATTTATTACTGTAAAGATGTAAAATGCTTGCTTTTATGCTACATACCAGTTTGTTTACCTTTTGGAATGACACAAAAACGTGTTCTGCTCTTTCCACATTGTTTGCTATAATAATATCTGAACTTCCGCTCATAAGTTGTTCACAACTAATGATTAACGAAGTATATGTGTGGCTGGAAAATTGGCATTAGTGTCTGTCCTTGTGTCCATTTTGTTTTATGCACATATAAGCCGACCCCCTGATTTCAGTATTGTATTTTATAGTTCTAAATTCGGCTTATATGCGATTATATACGATACATAAAAACCAGAAATGTTATGCCTTACTTTGATCACAGCCACTGTCAGTGCAAGCATTTTGAGAGTCTCGCAACTGTGGACATTATTGGTTGAAAATCATGAATCATACAAGCTCATTACAGTTTATTTTGCTAAAGCATTATAGAAATTATTAAGTCTTAAATTAAGTCCTGTGGGATGGGGGCCTCAAAAGAAATAGTCACAATGAGTTAAGCAATATTCAAGAATCGTAATTCAAAAATGTCAAGGGAACATCAGCCTAGGTGACTTTCCTGGAGTGCAGCATAGCTTGTTTAAAAAATAAAAATCTTTACAAATTTGATAATTATTTAAATTTAATTATATGTCAGTCCCAGCCAGTTGAAGACAATGAAAGGGAGCCAAGATTATTTTTCTGCTCCATAGTAAACTAACTAGCAAATATCCCTTACTTGATCCAATGTAATTGTCTTTTTCACATCTTCATAACTTATGAAATCTTTTAATGATGAATCTAATCCAGGGCAGTGGAATTGTCAAGAAAAATTTTGATATCAGCATAAATTGTTTTCCCTCCTACTTGACTGCCCTAGTGTACTGGTATCAATTTATCATCAAACCAGTTATTAACCCTATAAGTTGTAAGCCTATAAGGTGATATATCATTTTCTAGAAATTATGCAGTCCTAGTGAAAACTAATGCAATCTTCATTTGTCTTCTGGAGTGTTCACAACAATAAGAGGCACAATGTTTAAATATTTACATACCAGGTTCATAAGCCTGCGCATAGCATTCTCATGATTATATATGTCCACACATTCACATGGATCAAATTCAGCCATCTTTAGTCCAAATGTGTCTTTCCGAATTCGTCTTTAACTAAAACAAAAATAATAATATTGTTAGAAATACAGGTACAAGCTGAAAGTTAAATGTATAAAAATAACAAAAATCATACAGTGAACATCAATGATTTTGTTATTTTATACATTTAACGTTTAGGTTTGAAAGGGTTATATGTCCTTTTTAAGTTCCAAGTTCCCAGTTATTGAGTAGGTGAGTAGGTGCTATTAGTATTAGTGGTTATATTTCTCAACTGCCCCAAGAAAAAGAAAGCAAAACCCATTTTGTTCCCACTACCTAATTACACTAACTCGACATCAATGAGAAAGTGTCCATCAATGTATTCCTGTATTTAAGTTAAAGTTTTTAGATATTATTAAAAACTGTGACTAACTTGAAAATGGGGTCAAAGAAACTTTTTAAATGATTGTGCTTTTCAAAGAATTAGCAATGATAAAGGAAAATCCTTCAACATAATTTACTGTAATAATCTCACATCATTGTTTATATGATGTGTAGCTGGCGTAATGCACAACCCTCCCACCTGGGTTTAAGATCATCAATGGCAGACTCTGGAAAAACATGCAAGCTGAGAGTAAAATGCATTTCACATTTTGCGAGGCACATCATAAACCTGCCACTGTAGTGCATAGGGAGAGTAGCTATACACTGGATTACTGGATGCCACACAAAAGATGCAGAAAACAAGATCATCCCCGACATTTCCAGAACTTGAAAAATTGACCCTAGACCTTAGCTTTGAATTTTACAATGTTCAAAGTGATGGGTATACAGGCAGATGTGGAAATCAAGGATTCTTTTCTACAATAAAGTAAGTTATGAGGAACTTATTTCATATTTGATATACCGTAATATCGGCAAAGATCACAATAATATAATTGCCAGGCTAGAAATTGACTTCAAGAGAATATAAGTTTCATTTCATTTGGTGCCATATGATAAACATATATTAATGATGATACATTAAATTAAACCAAACTTTCTAAAGCATAGACTGATAAATTTAGTCTAATAAAGAGTATTAATAGAATAGAATATCAGTAAGATATTAACAGTACAGCAGAGTACTCTGTACATTAAACTGTGAAAAGCTGGTGAATAATATAAGCTTTCATAAGATAAGATTCTTTTATTGATCCAAACAAATGGAAATGCTTTTTGATTGCATTGTATTTGTACATTTTCACCACATAAATAAAACTATTGGAACATGAGACATCCACATTAATTTATTTCACTAGTGAAAAAAAAAAGATATTCAGTGAATTTTCATAGCCATATCAGGGACTTATTAGTTCTCATTAAGATTTGTGACTTCAGGGGGAGCATGCTGAATGCCAGACTTTCGGAGTCTTAGTTTTCATGGATTACATCCAAAAGTCTCTCAGTAGCCTGCTTCTTGTTAGCATTAGGTGGAATGTAAGTGAGGCTGATACAGATTTGGGTGAACTCCCTAGGTAGGTAAAATGGGTTTAAAGTGATGCAGAGTAGCTCTATGGCAGGTGTACAAGCTAATTGTTTCACTGTACCCTTATGTACCCACTAGACAACTCCGCTCATCCGACAGTGGCAAACTCTCGACACCACGTGTTCGCCTTGAGACTTACGGAAAGCGCGCTTTCACATTTGCTGGTCAAACAATTTGGAACACCCTTCCAGTCGATCTCAGAAACAATCAGACACTGAAGTCCTTTAAAACCGATTTAAAGACACATCTATTTCGCAAACACCTTCTGGGATGATTGTCTACCATATTTTCCATTTAATGCATATTGGCTGTGTTGCTAGGGTTGAAATGGGTAGAAAGACTTTGACTTGGTATGCTTGTAATTAGTTTTTGTAGTGTTGCGTTTGTTTTAAAAGTGGTAAATTATAGATTTGGTTGTTTTTTTTTTACTTAGTACCGCGCTTCGAGCCTTTGGGGATGAAGCGTGTTTTTGAAATAAACTTTATTATTATTATTATTATTACTGTTGTTGATGCTACAACTACAAATATTAACTTGACTGCTTTTGGCTTTGGTTAACAGCTTCTAAGACCAAAATATACTGATTTTAAGTTTAGTTTAAACATTAAATTTATTAAGACTGTTAAGTATTTAAGAATAAGAACAGTAATTAAAATTAAAAGCGTTTGGCTAGGTCTACACTCCTATTGAATTATAATTAGTCAATTATAAATTATGTAATTGTAATATAATAATATTACTGAGACTGAATAAGTTTTATATAATATAACTTAAAGACAGTGACAGCTGTATAGATGCCTAAAGGAAACCCTATAGTATAGCCCATAGACTTATGTAAATAATAAGAAAAGTTAAATAGTGACATATGGCATATGGACTTTCATTGTGTCTTTATTTAATCTAGTTTAGAGCTAAAGTACAGTACAAAGCAAAGATTTGAAAGAAACAGACTCAAGAAACTAATTACTAATTTGGGCATTGTGGTCCACGCGAAAACTAAGAAGAAGATTAAAAGAAACTTTCTTAGAAAGCCCCAGACGGGACTCTTAAATTTTAAAGATTAAAGACTAGGCAGGTTCATATATAAATCATGAAAACCCCTGTATAAAATACCAAATTTTTAATTAATGTGTCCAAATGACTAGTCTAGGCCTAAGTAATAGTAATAAATAAGTCTTATAAGTATAATTAAATATTAAACTTAGAAATATAATTACTTAGGAATGATATATGTATAGTAAAGTAAAACACTAACTTGCTTTTCTTATACAACCCAATGCCACCAAAGTTTTAAAGTATACGGCAACTTAAATTAAAGTTAAGGTCAACTTACATTTTCCTACTAAATTTTCCTGCTATGACTGATAGTAAACAATAGACCGGAAAGCTTATATAACACGTCAGCTGACATGCGCATTAAATAACAACACAATTTTAAAACTAGGGGGAGGGGAGGAGCTGTTGTGGGTATTCTGGCTATTTAAAGACCTGTACAGCCGGGGCGTTAAACAATTAAACTTATTTACTTGCTCTTTTTGTGGAGAAAAGGGTAGATTTCAATTGATCTATTCATCAGTAAACTTTCCCAATTCCAAGAAAATATGTTGAAATGTTAATTTTCAATTTCAATATACTTATTTAGTATAATATCATGTGATAAGTGATAACATTATCTTTAGTACCGGTATTTTCATAAGTCATTAATCATTAATGACATTAACTTCATAGCTGTTCGTCGGTATATTTATTATTAACTATAACTAGGGCTTAACCAGAGGCATTTTTTTTTATTACACCAGGTCCGGAAATTTAGAGAAAATACCCGGTGGGTCCAAGCGTCACAAAAACTACTGCCTACTAGAATATGTTCTATAATATATGCTGGCCTTTTAACAATAGCTTGAAAAAAAATACAGAAAGTCCTACACCCTACCTGCCCGCTTTTAAACAATAGGTATACAGACAGTCCTATACCATAACCGCCGGCCTTTAAACAATAGGCCTTCAGCCTACCGAAGTCCTTAAAGACTACACCATATCCGTACATCTTTATTCTTTATTGATTAATTTATTAGACTATTAAATAGACCCCTCTGAAAAAATGAAGCTTTTTATCTGAGTTCAACCGTCAAGAATGACGCTCGCTGCGTGACAGCTCCGCCCCCCCCCCCCCACACTTTTTTTTTGTACTCAGTAGGACTAATATTATCATAAAATACGTTTAGTAGGTGGTGGTTATGAAAATGAAGCAAAAGCAAAATATATTTAAGAGATAATACAAATATGGATCCTATCAGTGGCGCAGCTAGGGTAAGTGCCGCTCTATCTCAAAGACTCAACCCCTCGTCTTTTCCACGTCATTGGGCCCTATTTATATTCCAGTAGGCTAAGTAGGTAGTAGGTTGTGGGGGTTGTGGCCTTTATTATGCATCGAAACTGTACATAATTTTTTTTTAAAATGAAGGTCATTTGACTAGGAGTTGAAAATAATATTAGTATATTAATATAATAAATACGTTTTTAAGCACTAATCACAAAGATAAATTAATTTAAGAGTCATTGTAAGTCATGAACCGCATTTTTCATCGAATACTGTTTTTAAAACTTATTTAACAATAAATACTTACTAAAAAAGTTATTCTAATGAAAGCAGAGTAATCTAAAATTTATTTTAAATCTCGAAAGAGATTAACTAATTATCTATTATCTATAGTGGCAGAATTGTTAAAATAATTTAAAGTTTAATTTTAAACTTTATGGTGTACCTGGTCAAATAGAAACATTTTAACTGCTAAAAGATACCATGCAAGTGTTATCCCAATGTGTTTTTAGATATTAGATGATCTGGACAATAGTCACGTTTTGTATTGGTTAGCTATTTTATGTTATATAATTAATTTATAATAATTGCAGGTTAACGGTTTTAACAGAAAGTAGGAGTTGAAAAGAAGTACTAGAATAACTTCAAGTATACTAATTAGAAATTAATAGTGAGACAGGATATGTTTAAGCCAAGCAGACTTAAGGCTTAAAGACTAAGACAAGATAAATGGAAGGCTATCACTATCAATCACTCAGGCCCCTGTCACTATCACTGACTGACTGTATCGGTTTACACAGCTATATGTGATACAGATAGTGAGGGATAGTTTCTGTGAACATTTTCATAATATTAATATTGAACAAAACAAGGTAATCTTGCAACTCGGGTGCATGGCGTATATTATTTCTGATCTAATTTTGTATTATCACATGTAAACATATGTGTTTTCTTCATTACATTAAATCCAGGCAGTGATAGTTATCTAGTACTGAATTATACAGCGCTTATTTTCGTTGTATTTTATTTCTAAACATCCCCCGAACTGCCATAGCCATAGTTCCATTTGTTCTTTTATTTTCACCCTGTTGCCAGATTTTTTATCACCTTTAAGTTGGTATGCTAAACGAAAAGTGTAGGCATGTTCACAAATAGAATAGAATACAGGGTGGGGTTCGGGGTTTGAACTTAATTAGATGTTCCATTATTTGATAGGGGTCCGAAATTCTTTTTTTTTTTTATATGGGGTGTATAAATATAATTCTGAACAAAGGCTCCTGAGCGGGCATGAATGAATTAAACGAGATCAAACTTAGTACACATAAACTTGATTATCCACATTAAAAAACCGGTACTGAAGTTTAATGAACTCATAATTTTAATTTTTCTAAAAGTAGCCAATATACATGTCAATTTTATGTAAATTAATTTTGTGAACCTGCTTTTAGTTTGAAAAGTTAAGCATCAATAAATGTTTTTGGTAAAATTTAATATAAATCAAATTTCTTGTTTCGTTTTTTTGTGAATATGCTTTCAGTTGAAAAATTGCAATCTGGCATGTTGGGTGAATTTTTTAAAAAGCCAAGAAAATGGAGAGATTGTTTATGCTATCGACTATGTACCGATGGGGGCTGTAAAAATTAATAAAAAGAAAAGTTATTGCTGTATAATTTAGTGTTAGTGCTAAATAATACTACCTGGACTAAATTTTATAAAGAATACACGTAAGGTTACACACGATAATACGAAATTCGATCAGAAATAATAATGGAGGTGTACACAAGGGCACATCTGATGTATCTAACACCTCTATATTTCTAGCACCAATATAGACCAGCAAGAGTTAAGAATGAAAAAAAAATTAATTTAGATTTTCGGTACCATACCATATTTTATCAGTGATCAGTATCACCATATTGTCCATGCGGCATATGGAATCAATCAAGAATCAAATACTTCCTAGTGATCCTTTATTTCACTCCATTTCTACTCTCAGTTTTTGTTTTTTTAAATTTTACATGAATAATACTTGGTATTGCTAACAAACGCACATATTCTGGTGAAGGTCTGAGATTACTCTCTTATGACCCCTGTTAGTACATTGGCTATCAGCTCCATCTGTTGAGCTGAGACATATAACATTTTCCTCGCGTTGGACTAGGGCTCTCTCGCCACCCTGGCCTCCCCCGAAACATTTAGTGAGGGACATTTGGTCAACAGAGTTTCCGGGACCAAGCTGTACCACTGGCAGGTTAAATTATGTGTTGATGGGACAGTGCTCAGTGTGCATCTGTGTCACTAGACTCTGCTGCCTGCAACCTAACCCCCACCAAGGCAGGGTGGACTGAGGAGTTCAAGCGGCCCGCGAAAAAATCAAAGCGGCCCGCGAAAAAAAACAAAAAGTGGCCCTATCTTCATGACTTTTATTTTTATTATATCACCGGTCCTAGCGGCCCATCGGGAATCGTCCCGGCGGCCCAGTCCACCCCTGCACCAAGGGTCTTGTCTGTTAGGAGACGGCAAGTTAGCCAATACACTTTGATATTACTAGTATACACCACAGATTAATGTAGGACACATGTTATGATTTAGAACATCTCAAATTTTATTTCTAACAATAACATAGAGGTGCTTCCTGTTCAGAACAGCAAGCTACATAATTTAAATTTATTTGTTGTTTATTGTATTGTATGGCGTGCTGAAGAAGGCACCTAGCTGAAACATCCTCTTAATTTGTTTTATCTTTTATTTTCAAGCCCAAACATATCTTGTTACACTATTTATTTACTTTACTTGGCTTGAACACAATCCCTCATAAATTATCCTAATAATTGCAAACAAGGTACTAAAAATAACGAAAAGTTGTTACTAAATTTTACTGAACAAATAAGACTAAGAGTAAGAAGAGGTGCATTAAAACTCAAAGATGCTCCATTACAACTAAGAGTAAGATAAAAGTGCCTTAGATGATACAGCACGCTATGTTGTACAATGTATCCCAGCTATAATGCAAAGTCGGATATAAGGCTGCCAATGCCATGAAAAGATATATATGTCTCACATCGAGAACAACTCACAAATTTTCTAAAACTAGTCTCACACTACATTGACTAAAAAATAAGTTTAAAAAATAAATAACCAATCGTCCTTCTTTTTAAAAACCACATCACTGGTCACACAGAATATTGAATTGTAAATTAAAATCCTATCCATGACATGATCTGATTTTATGGACCCCTATTATTGTCTTATGGATTAAGCCTAATAATTACAAGGATTCACAATCAATATATACTTGTTTTTTCTGACACTACTATTTTAAAGATGTAATTTAATGCTCTTGTGTCATATTTTAGAGTACTAATAAATATGGAAGAAGTTGCGTCAAATAAGCCAGGAAAGCACCAACTGGAACCAGATGATGAGATCAGTGAATCAAATTCTAAAAGAATGAAAATGGACTGCCTTCTTCAAGATGAGAATAACATTTCAGTAACTGATAAAAGCCTACCAGAGTCTCCAGTTCATGATCATGATGCCGAAATGCCATCTTCAGACAATCAATTATCCACTGAAACCAAATCCAATGTTCAAGATGATGTTGATGTGACATCTGCTCCACTTTTGGATCCTTTGAGTTATACTAAAGCTGAAGAGTTTACATCAGAAATTTTCAAAATTCAGATTTACAATCTTCCCAAATTTGGTTTTAATGTAAGTGATAAGAATAAATTCTTTTTTAAAAAAGTTTATTGTCAGATTAAACTGGGGTTTTTAAAACTGTCTTTGCTGAATACATTGCTTTAACATTTTGGCTGACTACTGAGCAAACAAAAAAACAAACCTGACAATATTTTTTTCCCTGGTCTCAGTTATTTTAATGTAAGGAGACGGGACAAATATAATTTGTAATAATAGTGTTTAAAACTATTTAAAGAGCTCTGCATTTGTTACCTAGACACAACCTGTCCCATCTAAATTAATTTTATGCTGATTGTTTGATCTGATTGCAAATAACTCACAAAAAACAGAAAGAAATATATTTAAAAAAAATTATTCTAATATATTTTTTTCATATTTTCCTGTGACTATTCAAGATTCAAATATTTCAAGTGTTAAGAATAACAAAAAAATTAATTTTATTGTAATTAATGCACAAACTGCATTTTTTACAATTTTTATACAGTTTTTAATATCTGTTTACATGATATTTAAACAAAATATTTTTTGCAGGATCTGAAAAAGCGTTTGAAGTCAACTCTAAACCTCAACCCACACAAAATAAAACATATTAATAAAATTTTCGTCACATATGTTTGCTTTAAGTGAGTACCAGTACCCAGTATATTGATAAATACAAGTAAAAACCTTATTTAAACATTATCATTTTATTAGAATGAATTGAAATGTCTTGGAAAATTATTTGAAAGAAATTTTTATCAAAAAGTTAAATATTTTCGTCATCCTTTTTTAAAATATATTTTTTTTAAATTATTTTTTTTATTAGTGTGTACAAACTTTCTTCATTTTTCTCCTATCTGTATATTAATAGTAATAAAAAAAGATACATTTATTGATATATAAAATGCAGGAATGAAGCAGATAGAGATGAAGCCTTGAAAAAAATCAATGGTCATGTCTGGAAAGGAAAGACATTAGAAGCAAAGGTAACACTATTCATTTAAGATATATTGGTGTATGATTTTCTGGCCAGTTTTACCAAAATCAAAGTAGAGATGTTTAGATTTATACAAAGTAACAATATATGTTTCTGCGATTATCAAACAAAAAAAACAATTTTATGCAAATACCAATAAAAATATTGTAAAACATCTGCTGGCATTATATTAGATTTTGATTAAAATATACAGATAGACGGATTATGGTGTAACAGTATTTTTAAAATGACCTGTTCAAAAGCTGACTTTCCTCTCTCAGATAGCTAAACCTGCTGCAGATCCTTATTTACAGAAGCAACTTCAGGAAAAAGGTTCAAAGCTTTTGTTTTTAAGATATGACTTAAATTTTTAAAAATATTAATAAAAAAATGTTATAGATACCCAAATGGGTCAAAGTCTAAGCAAATTTACACTGCAAAAGTAGTAAAATTATTATTATTAAACATTATTTGATTATGTAAACTGCATTTAGCTCAAATTATTTTTAATTTAGTTCAGCAATATTGCATTAACTTTTTAAAACTAAAAATCGGGAAAGGATTCTTAATCAAACATAATTTGCTTTTTCTTGTAGGTAACTGCAGTACTGAGAAAAGCTCCAAGTCTAATTCAACTCAGGAGACTTTGCAACCAACAGCAGAAGAAGCTGAGACAAGGTAAAATATCTTGTTACTTAAATTTAAAAAAAAATTGTTTTAACTCTTTTAAAGTCAGAAATTTTAACACAACATACATTCATTATAAAATTAGCAAATATTTGCTCCATTAAACAAAAATATATTGACTCTGTAGCTTAAATTAAGGCAATGCTTCTAAAGCTTGATACAAAAAAAGAAGAAAAAAAAGCCACTTTAAAAATGGGGATTTGGATAAATTTGGTTAATTTTTATTTTCAAAAGACTTGGCTACACAAATTAATAAACAGACATATTTTTTATTGGATCTGTAACTTAGCAACATACAAATACTACAGTTTTATTATTTATTCTATTCACAGACTAAGAGCTAATGTCATTCCACTTTGGGATGTTGACTATACAGATCAACTACAGGTCTGCTTCAAAAACAAATCTTTATTTCTTAAAGCAGAGTTGATCACTCAAAAAAGCAAACTAACATTGTATAATTTAAAATATGTTCTTAAATTATTTTTGTTCCTTACAAATTCTATACAAAGAAAAGCATTTAAAAATATTCCATTTACAAAAGCTGATTTCTGTTGTGTTCAATGACAATTTAATAAGCTAATTATTTTAAATATTATTGCAATAATTATTTATTCTCTAAAAATAAAAAAATAAAAAGAATTTATACATTTCTCACAACATTAATTTTTATTTAACTTGAATTTTAAACATTATTCTTTCAGATGAAAACGAAGCTAATTCGAAATATTTTAGCGCGTGTTACTAAACATCACTTTGTTAAACACATGTTCGAAGACAGGTAAGTTGTACAATTTATGTAAATCACTATATAATATTTGATTTTTCAACTTAAAAAAAAATTAGAGGCTGGATTCCTCATCCCAAAATTGTTCTTTTAAAAAAAAAAAAAAAAAAACTTTCCTGATTTACTACTACATGGAATTTAGGTAATGTTTTCTTGCTAAATTCTGATTTTTAGCGCGTGTTACTAAAAATCACTTTGTTAAACACATGTTCGAAGACAGGTAAGTTTTAAAATTTATGTAAATCACTATTTAATATTTGATTTTTAAAATTAAAAAAAAATTAAAGGCTGGATTCCTCATCCCAAAATTGTTCTTTTAAAAAAAAAAAAAAAAAAACTTTCCTGATTTACTACTACATGGAATTTAGGTAATGTTTTCTTGCTAAATTCTGTGAAATTCTTTTATGTGGCATGTCATAAATTTCTTGTTTCAGGTCCAAGCATGATGGCCTAGCTTGTGAATTACTTCCCATTGTTCCTTCAGTAAGTGGCTATTCAATTATTTTATTACAGAACATGAACTTTGTAGCTTTAAGTTAAGTATTTATGAAATACCATCTGGTACATAGATGGAAAGATTAAGTATTTTTTTAGATCAATAAGATGAATAAGATCAATAAAGAAAATAATAAATAATATATGTTTCTCCAGCCTATCACAACAGAATATAGAAATAAAAATGAATTCTCCATAGGCTTTGGACTGGATGGAAAAAGTAAGTTTCTTTACAATACAGGATTAACAAATAAAAATCCACACTGAAAAGCTTTGATGTTGAGGTTGTTTTTATTTGTAATGGTTATGGATTATTGGCCTCCCATTAAGACCTGACATTTTATCGTCATTACATATTGCTTTGTATTAAAATAGGTATGTTCTGATGGGTTAAAAATGATCTTATCAATATTATATAATTGATGATTTGGATTTATCGATCAATGTATGAGGTCAATTCAAGTGGAGCCTTCTCACCTTGCCTTCCAAAGTTCTCAGGCCAGGCACAGATATGGACTTCTGAGCTGTACGTCGCGAAGCTGTCTTCCCAGTAATATGTTGGGTGTAGAGTCCAAGGAACTTTTGGTCCAATGTGATGCAGCCTCATGGTTTGGCAGGCGGATGTATAGCGCTGGGCGGACTCCTGGGAATCAGGCCTCATGCTTTATCCTCCAATCCAGCTGCTAAAAAGCGGTTGTGTCTTGCAATATGACAAACAGACTATATGTGAAATGATGTAATAACATGGAGGGAGTAAACTTACCCAATAGTCATAAGCTGACTTGTCCATCTCGAACAACAGTGAATTTAGATTCACATAAAGCTCATACATAAACCCCCAATGTATGGATAACATGCCAGTGCATGTACATATGTCTAAAGGCAACATAGGGCAAACGACTGTTTCACTTATACTAACACAGTTAAATATTATAAATAATACGTATATTGATACAGTATGTCCCACCGTCTTATTAATAGATAATCTAACAGTCTAATTACTTTGCCATCATTATGACTGGATGAAGTTCAAAGATTTAAAAAAAATATGAAAATGGCCACCACCTGTCAGGCATGGAGTCTCACTCCATCCACATATTTTAAGGCAAAACCCAACGAGCATATTTATTATCTACCAAGATGTTCAGAGTGTGACATAATTTTTTAAAGCAATATAATTTAAAGTCACAATAAAATTGTATTAAAATATAACAGTCGAAATCAACGGCTCAAAACTCATTAGGTAAATGCCAGCTGATCTTCTCACTGGAGGGACTCGCCAGTATTTGTGTGGTGTGTTCCCTGAGTGTGTCGAGAACGGAAAAGAATGGTCTACAGGTCAAAACACAGCAAATATCTGTGATAGGGGTATTTATCACTGGCTAACCTATTAATCTTGAGGATGAGCACGGCCGGTGAAATAAGTCTTGCAAGAATGAACAAAGCAATGCGATGTGAACTCACGCAAGGCATGCGGGGGTGCGACTGAGATGAGTTGGTGTCACACTTGAATGTGCTATGTGAGCTGGGCCAAGGATTACAAGACTAACATTATAGATAATAACTCATAGAAAAAAGTGTGGGTGGTGGTGGTTAGATTCTAGCAAGGCATGCTTACTGCACAACTGTATATACATTTTGACAGTCCAGTCTGATTTCATAACAGATGTATTGTTTTCTCAAAATACTTAAAATGTATAATATCTACTACTCTTTAAGTTTTCTTAAACAGTTACATTTATATCAATAAGCAAGAACTGACAATTTTTATAAAGAAATATTTAGTTATAATTAATGTCTTACATGTTAAAAAAATGTCCTCAGCAAAAATGGTTGGCTTTAGATATGGCTTGTACAAAGATGGCACAACAGCTGTAGGGAGCTGTGAAAATCTTGGAATAGCAATGCCTGCTGCTATTCCAGTTGTCAAGGTAATAGGCATGATTAAATGCAAACTTTTAACTTGTTTCTATGCTGGACAAAATAAAATAAGCATTTTTGTGTCTACGGCTTGTTATGCTTGAGAATGATTTATGGTCTTCAAGGGTTGGGAGGGGGTGGGGGGGATTATCTGACAGAAACATTTGGTACTAATTTTTGCCTGTGAATAGTTGATGTATGCAATCTTTACAAAACAAATGGCCTAAACACTGGTAAAGCTTTTAGCCTGTATAAGTCAATAATATGCATTTTCTTAAAGTAGAATCTTCTGAACTATTTCACTGACTGCACTGGCCTCCAGACCACAATTAGAAGAGTGCTCAGACTTGAAGGTGTTCAAAACTCAACATAATAAAACATTATTTGACAAAAATAACTGATGTTTTTTAATCAACTTTATACATTCCTGTTACGCATGGTGGTGTTGTCTGTCTTGGAAGTCTCCAAACCACATGGTAATAGGTAATAGGTTTGAATTTATCCTCTGGGGCTGGGAGGAGAAGTTAAAAATCTCTGATTGACACACAGATATGTTAAGGCATGTTGAAAAGTTTCAAACAAATTGAAATGATCTTTTTGCATGACAAGTATTTTATTTCAATGTGATTAATCCATTATAATTAGACATTTATACTTTCAGAGTTTTATTGACTTTATCACAGAGTCACAATGGGAGCCTTTCCTTCAACAATCGGGGACAGGACACTGGCAGACTCTGACAGTGAGAACACAACGAACGGGTGACGTCATGGCCATGGTTGACTTTAGTCCACGAAAACTGGATCAGGTGTGTCCATTAATTGCCACCTCAATTTTTAAATGCTCTCAATTCGGCAGAAAAATCTTCAAGGTTGAATATTATAGTGCAATCGTACAAGTGCAACCAATTCTTTACATGAATTCAAAAAAGGGTTTTATAAATGGATGAAATAAAAAGTTTAGCATGAAATATGTTTATTTCAGTCAGAAATAGATGCAGCAAAAAACTCCTTAAAAGAATTCTTCACCACAGGAGCGGGCAAAGATGTCTATATCAAGTCACTTTATTTCAGGATTTTGAGTGGCAAGTAAGTCCACTTTGTTCTTACATTATTGTATGTAAAGTTTAAAGGCACATTAAATCAATGAAAACAAACATAAAACAAAATTAAGTTAATAATAATAGTTTTGAGAATAATGTCATGTATGAGATAAAAACATATTTTCACAAGCATTATCAGAGAATAAGGTTATGGGAAGAAATATTGGAGAAAGCATGATAGAAGGGTGCTCTAGATGTTAGTTCCTAATGATGGGCTCCCAAAATAAATCTTGCTTCCATACAACTAATGCTTGTACATTATGTTATGATGCTTAATTCTAAATAACTTTTTCCCCCCATTTCATATTCCAGGGGCCAGAACACAAGAAATAATCTGGAATTGTTGTTAGGAGAACCAGTAAGATTTTTTAATGTGTCCATTGTTTTAAAACATCTTCTACTTAGATTAGACATTTTACTTATTTTTGTGCTCTTATTTATGAATTGATTATCTGTTTATTTATAAATAACTTGATTCTATAAATAAAAAAACAAATTGCAAAAGTAATTGCAATAAAAATCCCTAAATATTAACTCTAAGAGACCATTCAAAAAACATCAATTTAAAATAAATTTTGCACTTATAAGCATTTTAGAGTCCTTTTTTTCAATTGCAACTCTCCTTATGGGAAGAATTCAATTCTTTAAAAAAAAATTGTTAAAAAGAATTATCAATAACTTCTGGAGTTACTGCAGTCACAGCAATTACTTAAAAAAATATATATTTAAATTATTATTATTTTTTTTTTGCACATGAAAACTTATACTAGATGAATGATTGAATGAAATGTTTAACTCCAGAATCTAATTCATCAGCAGGTCTTAAGTTTGTATTTTAAAAATATTTTTTTAACCATCCAAATGTGTGCGTTTTTTTAATATTTTTGATTTTGAGCAATGTGTAAACAATTCTTTAAATTTCTAGCATGTTTATGAGTCATTACTGGAAATGAAATTCCGTATTTCTCCACAAGCTTTTTTTCAAGGTTAGTCATTCAAGTTATTGTGTGACGTGTGTCTTCCCTGTGAATTTATTTAAGATAAGATAAGATTCTTTACTGATCCAAATAAATGGAAATGTTTTTTGATGTTTTTTTTACATATTTTCTATTATTTTGTTTACTAATCCAAAAAAAATTTTTTTTTTTAAAGCACTACATATTAAATAAACTTCCTAAAAAATTCGCCCATGTCATGGCGTATAATTTCTATAATACTACTGTTACTCTCTTTTCCACAGTCAATACACCAGCAACAGAAAAGCTGTACGAGTTGATAGCAGAGTGGTGCAATGCGTCCTCCTCTACCACTGTCCTAGACATTTGTTGTGGCACGGGTACCATTGGGCTGTCCATGGCCAAGGTCTCCTTTTATCATTGTTAACTCTCTTATTCACTAATCTCTGTGTGTGCTATGCCAATTAGCTACATGTTTGGTAATATTTGTGTTTGCTAAGCCAATTAGCAACATGAGGATATTGTTGTTTCTTATTTTTTGATAAACTTTGTGTATGCTAAGCCAATAAGCTACATGCTGGTATTCTGGTATCTGAGAAAATATTTGTAGAACCAGAGGTGGAATAACGGGGAGACAAATCTAACGCATGGCTATTAAATGTATTCCTTTATAATTTATATTGAATCATGTATCTTTTTAAGGGTAGAAATTACATGCCATGGTTGATATCTTCCATAGTTTTGTAAATAAATGTTTAATAATAAAAAAACCTTAACAAATTTTAAGTAATTTAAAGACAACATGCATATTATTATTGGTTTAGTAAAAGTTCATTACTTCTGAGACCTGTGTATCTCCTTCGGATTCTGAAAAGTAATGAAAGAAATATTATTTGAAATCGCACCTTAAAATACTGTCACTACTCAAATAAAAGCAAAGAACCTACTATAAAAGTTATTCACTTTCTTCTAGACTTATACACAAAATATATGACTCAATTTAATTGACAAAAAGATATACTGAATTTCCACCTAAATCACTTTAAATAGAAATAATGGATAATACCCTCAGCCTTTTTTTTCTTCAATTTGATATTTTTTAATTATTTGTCTGCAATTGAAAATTTACAGACTTAAAAAAATTCATAATCATTTTAAGCATTTTGAAGGTTTCTTTTTTAAATTTATAATTTTTATATACTTTTTTCAAGAACATTTTATTTTATCATCCAGTAATAGATTTCAATGGAGACACCTAATCAAACTTAGTCCTTTTTAGTATTAAAAAATTTGTCATAAAAAAAGATTAAAATTTTGAACACTTTCAAAATGTTGAGATTTCAGTCCGTCTTAGAGTAAACCCCCCCCCAAACCATTGTCTGAATCTACTACTGGATATACATCTTTCATTCTCATTTAAAACTTTATTTGTCTAACATATTTGACCAGAAAGTCAAGTCCGTCATTGGAATAGAGATGTGCTCAGAAGCTGTTGAAGATGCTAAAGCCAATGCTTCCTTAAATGGTGAGCAGTAGGTAGTTTTGAAATGATCTCTGTGCTTAAGAAAGTAATTTAATTTTGTCAGAACTACCATAACTATTAAGTTTTTTTTTTTAAACAAAAATTATTTTTACAAAACAGTGACCACATGTACTCAAAATAACAAATCTACTGGCCCACAAAGCTGCATCATTCCAAACAGTTAAAAGTTCACAGCATATATTGACTTGCAAATTATTCATTTTTTCAGACATCTGTAATGCCACATTTCATTGTGCAAAAGTGGAAGATATTATCTCAAAGGTGATGTTATCATTGCAGTCATCCAATGATGGACAGGATATAGTGGCTGTTGTTGACCCACCTCGTGCTGGCTTACGTGAGTAACAAAATTAATGTTCATTATTCTTAAACTTTTATAAGTGCGGAAGAAAAATATAAAAAATCACATTACTTTTTATTTGCCAAAAGTTTTTCTTAAATTCGCAAAAGAATTTTTTTTTTTTTAAATTTTCATGACATTTACACGAAAAATTATTTATTTTGCATTTAAAAAAAAAAAATTGTTTTTATCTAGAATTGTTCTTTCAAACCTTTTATTTACAGACAAAGATGTGATTAAGAGTTTAAGGAAATGTCAAGCTATCAGACACTTGGTGTATGTGTCATGCAATCCTGAGAGTGCTTTGGATAATTTTATTGAGTGAGTAGATTTAAGACGGTTGCTAAAAATTTCACTTCCAACAATCTTTAACACGTTACATTTCTTTTGGGTGGGCTGTTAGCCAGCAGTGAAATCTACTAAATCAATTAGTTCGATTCGTAGACTTTTTATTTTATTTTTGAAAAAAACATTCAAAATTTTAAAATCATTTAGTCTCTCAATATGTGTTTATAATGTTTGAAACCAATTTATCTCCCAGCATTATTAGACCAGAGACTGGAAGACACAAAGGATCTCCTTACAAGATGGTTAAAGCAACACCTGTTGATCTCTTCCCTGGCACCAAGCACTGTGAGCTGCTCATTCTCTTCGCTAAAGCTGATGCCAGCAATGATGTTCCAATGACTGATGCAAACACTGATGTGAATATGGCTGATGGTGCCGAGTCAAGCAAATAACATCACCAGACAGAGAGAGAGAGACAGAGCGAAAGAGAGCTAGATTAGAGGATTTTAATATAAATTTTGTTTTCTTTAAGGCAGTGGGTCTAAACAAATTTTTTTTACGGTCACCACCCCTTTTCCTTTCATGAAATAAAACTCATGTTGATGTTACTCGCACGTCTTTGTGGCCATCCATATAATACTTAAACAAAAAAGTCACAATTTTATTCCCTCCCCTTGTTGCACGCGTACTTTTGTGGACACACGCCCCATGAGCATGTACAGGGCCTTAGAGAGGCCGAGGAAATCATTCGGGGCTCTCCACCCTTAGGCCCCCCAAGGGGAGGGGGAATCGATACGTTTGATACATTTATTTTGAAATGGTGGGGGCCTAACTTTCGGATTTCCTCGGGTCCACAAATCCTCGGCACGCCCATGCCGCACGTACAATCAGCTTTCGCATCACCACCAAAATCAATTTATTTATAGACTTATGACATCACTTTAAAAAAATGTTGCACAGGTTTTCACCGCTGCGAACCCATTGGTTGCCATAACTTGCGCCACATTTCCACCGGTAACTCTTCACTGGCGCCAACATCGGGGGAGGGGGGGGGGAAACATCACTTTAAAAAAATGTTGCACAGGTTTTCACCGCTGCGAACCCATTGGTTGCCATAACTTGCGCCACATTTCCACCGGTAACTCTTCACTGGCGCCAACATCGGGGGAGGGGGGGGAAGGGGGGGGGGCAAAATAGTAGGTCCTCGATAGTGAATTAAACAAAAAATTCCATGTACTTCACGAAAGACAATGGACGCCCAAAATAGTCTATTTCCTGGTGTGCGTGGGTGGTGGAGGGCTGGCTAACTGAGTGGTCTAAACCGAGCAAATCTCAACAAATCACAAGTTGGTGGTCAGGAGATCAAATCCAACGGAAACCCATTCAAAAACATCACCAGAGAGAGAGAGGATTTTAATATACATTTTTGTTTTCTTTAACGGCACTTTTCTATAAGCAATGAAATTTTTGGTTGATTATTACAAAATAAAGAGGTGCATTTTTTAAAGTATACTTGAACTGAAATGTCACATAAGAAATGGCGCGGGGCGCCGATCTAATGCTTTTTATGCCCTCCCCAAAGCACCCCCACCCCTTAAGCCCGGTATCAGACTGCGAAGCGGTACGTTGGAGATGTCTCTTTGTCAGGACAGCCCCCACCCGAGTCCGCTCAATCGGGTTCGGTTGGGGGCTACCCCAACCCAAAGACACCCGGTCGGTACGACATTGTGTTTGCACACAGTGCACACGATCGACTTTCTCAGGAGTCGGGATGGTACATTTTAAGTCCTAATATCTTCCCCCCACCCATCCCAGGGAAACGTGGGAAGAGGGTTTCTACAGTGGGTTTTCACCACGCAACTAATTTGCGAAGTAGCCGGGACGAAACGGTTGCCTTGGAGCAGGTTCTCAGGGCTGCATAGTGAGAATCATCGGCTAGAGGTTACCAACCTTCGCCTCTAGCCTCATATCCATTATCGGCAACTGGTAATCATGATCCCTACCCTGTCTCTGCTTTTACTTCCAATTGTGAAGCGTCACAGCTGGCAGCCCTGTAGGTGCTGTTTTATTTAAGGCAGGTACCGATTACGTCCCTTGTCTGCCCTCGCAGGACGCGCCACAGTGGTCATGTTCCCTGGGTAATGTCGAGGGGGTCGGTGGCCGACGCCTTCTGATCGACAAGCCACCACAGGCTTGTTAACCAGAGCATCAGGAAGGGCTTGAATTCAATGTTTCTATTTTACTTATTGAACGGGGTACGGAAATGTTAAAGGCTCTGGGGGGAGGCATTATGGTGCACATTGCCAGACACCAACTAAATTCAATCCGGTTGTGGCCCATCATTTGTCAAAAAGCTTATATTCAACCCCATGCTGTAACCTGTAGCATTGAGCAGCGTGAGGGAAGGGGATGCAGAAAATGTGGGTGCCGAAGACCGTCGGGATAATTCAGAATGCAGGTTGGCATTTTGGCACATGCTTGAATGTTGGTGTTTAGTTCAAACATTTTAAAGTGATTTTTTTCAAAGAAAACACTGGGCTGTATCTTATTTAGCTTGTACGTTAATCCGACACTGCCCCCCACCCCTATGAAACATCACTTTTATACGCCCCTGTTTTGGACACATTCACATGTCTAGTTTACCTTTTTCCTTCCACTTTTAAACGAGACGAATGTCGTCATGATTGATGGCCGTGTACTTCTCCCCGTCAGCTGCTTGTCGCTTGTCATAGCAACGGAAGCATGTGTCCAGACATCTTTGTGGAAAACACTTCTATTGTTTGGTCGATGAACCTATTCAAGCAGGGGAGCATTTATAGAATCATAGTTGTAACATTCTACTTCCACCGTTGACTGAGGAGAGCGTAAACTAATTCTGACCATTTTGATGCTCATTTTATTTCTGAGATTCGTCGTTATTTTTTAAATTTTCTTTTGTAAAGCGTCATTTCTAACGCTAGTGTAGAGGTGTGTAGCTATATATAGCATGAATAAATTCGTCAGTCGGGGAGCACTGGTGTACCTTATGTGTTTTCTGCCGTTGGCTGGATCAGTTGTGTTTACGGACGGAGTTTACGCCGTTGAATGGTTAGCTGAGAGTTATAGTGACGTCAATTGCGTCATCCACAATGATCTACGGTAGGACGTACAGATGGACGTGTGTGTGACGTTTTTATTTCATTAAAAATTAAAAAAAAAAAAAAAAAAAAAAAAATAAAAAAAAAAAAAAAAAAAAAAAGCCCAAAACATCTCGAGCAGTGAATCTCAAAATTGAATGCATGGACCCTTGTGTGTATGTGGGAGCAAGCAGATTTATCCGCTTCCCTATCATCAAACTAAATTTCGTGTTGTCCATTGAGTATCCTGAGAAATGCAGTTACATGGGGAAGGGTAAGGGGCGTAGCTAGAGTTAGTGCTGCCCATTGCGGGCCAAGCGTATTGCCGTCCCCTTCCATGAAAAAATACTCCGCAGTTGGCCGAAAATACCACCCCTCAATATAAAGAAAATCATACGGACCGAACATCCCCAATCCTGTATAATGTGGCACGTTGCTTGCTTCATGTCTAGTGTTGCGCTGTTCCCCCTTCGCGCGCAAAAATGACCAAGACTAAGGTTTATTCCACTAGTGAGTACGCAGGTGGTCTGCCAGTCCGTTTTGTGACTGGAAAGCTTTCCCGCACGTGGGACACACGGTGTTTTGGGTCCGAGTCGGATTTGAGTGTTACAGACAAATGAGCAGGTAGACTTTTGGCAATTATTAAAGCAACATATTCATGCAGACACCATCGGCGCCCACAGCATACTAGTTCAAGGTGGTTTAACCCCCCCCCCCAACCAAAATTTAAACGAAAAAATAGTGCTAACTAGTACTGATATTGCGGAAAAAAAGAATCAACAGAGATAAAAGTGAACTTAATACTTAATGTATTACTAAAAAAAAACATTCCCGTGGGTGCAACAGCAGCGTCAGGCCAACAGAAGAAGATGCCCCAAATGGCACACACAGACATACCCTGAAGCTCATGTCGCACATTGGTGTTGCTACGGTTAGTGCCGCCCCTGCGGGCTAATATTTTTTTGCCGCCCCCTTCCATGAAAATAAATTTTCTGTTGGCTGTAAGAGTGTACGGATAACTTGATACGAAAACTGTCATCTAAGAAGATGCAGAAACGTATGGAAAAAAAAAGGGGGGGGGGGGGAGAAAGTTGGGGGGGGCACAAGAACAAGGGGAAATAAACAGGTTGGAAATCTCTTATAAATGGGGGGGGAGGGACGGATAACTTGATACGAAAACTGTCATCTAAGAAGATGCAGAAACGTATGGAAAAAAAAAGGGGGGGGGGGGAGAAAGTTGTGGGCGGCACAAGAACAAGGGGAAATAACCATGTTGGAAATCTCTTATAAATGGGGTGGGAGGGGTGAGATTAAATTAAATGATTACATGGATCTATATATAATTAAGCAATCATGTCCGTCCAGTAACATTGCGTGTTAAATCATTTTATTTAAATATTTAACACAAAAATGCAGAAATGCACGTTAAAAAATATAACCCAACTAGGTGTAGGAGTTATCGAATCAATAATCTTCCAATAATCATGGCACTATTCTTAAAAGTAAGTATAAAAGCAAATCTTTTCTATAAGGAACGATGCAACCACTTCCACGTTTGTTGACGAGAGCGAGGGCGTCTACCAGATAGTGTCTGGTACGTTGAAAGAAATGGCCAAAGGTTGCCGCATAGCTCAAGGGAAAGGCAACTCTAAACGACACAAACTGTGGCGGCGAAGTATCATCAACATATTAGAGGGAATATACCCAGGTGAATCATCAAATTATATGTGGTTAATAGCCAGGTGAATCATCAAATTATTATAGGTGATATCCAGATCAATTATCCAATTGTATAGGTTACACATAGGTGAATTATCCAATTGTATAGGTTACACATAGGTGAATTATCAAATTGTATAGGTTACACATAGGTGAATTATCAAATTGTATAGGTTACACATAGGTGAATTATCAAATTGTATAGGTTACACATAGGTGAATTATCAAATTGTATCTGTTACACATAGGTGAATTATCAAATTGTATCTGTTACACATAGGTGAATTATCCAATTGTATCTGTTACACATAGGTGAATTATCAAATTAGATGAGACTCACCCAGGTTAATGTTTTAATTTAAAGATAAGTCCTCAAATGAAAGGTGATGTATCCATGCAAATAAATACAAATAGCTAGAGGGTATATATATATATCCAGGTCAATCGTAAAAATAAGAGGTGAATCCCACCCCTTATCCTAAATCGCACCCTTATCCTAAATATCACGCTTACCCTAAATCCCACCCTTACCATAAATCCCACCTTTACCCTAAATCTCATCCCTTAACCTATATCCCGACCCTTACCCTAAATCCCACCTATTACCCTGAATCCTACCTCTTACCCCAAAACCAACCCTTACCATAAATCAAAAACCTTTCCCTAAATCTGACCCTTCCCTTAAATTCCACCGCTTCCTAAATACCACCCCTTACCCTAAATCACTCCCTTTACCCTAAACACCATTCCTTACCCTTAATCCCACCATTTAATCCTAAATCAAACCCCTTACCCTAAATCCCTCCCTTTACCCTAAACACCATCCCTTACCCTAAATCCCACCCCTTACCATAAATCAAACACCTTACCATAAATCCCACCCTTACCCTAAACCCCACCCTTACCCTAAATCCCTCACCTTACACTAAATCCCACCACTTACCCAAAATCCCACCACTTACCCTAAATCCCACCCCTTACCCTAAATCCCACCCTTACCCTAAATCCCTCACATTACCCTAAATCCCACCACTTACCCTAAATCCCATCCTTACCCTAAATCCCTCACCTTACCCTAAATCCCACCCTTACCCTAAATCAAACCCCTTACCCTGAATCCCACTCCTTACCCTTAGTCCTATTCTTTACTCTATATCCTATACCTGACCACAATTTGATACCTATACTTTAGAAAAGTTGTATACATTAGCAAATGCTATCTTTTCAATTTTCTTTCAATGACAGGCACGATGTGGTGCGGGCAGGGTAGCTTGACCAAGAACGAAACAGACCTGGGGTACTACAACTTGACCGACGCCTGCTGCAGGGAGCATGACCACTGCCGGGAGTACATATCACCTGGCACCTCAAAGTTCGGGATCATGAATGACGAGCAGTACACCATGTAGGTGTTAGAGTTTTAATGTCGACTCTTAGCTTATGCTAAAGCTACGGCAGACCCTCAGTACGAAAATACTTTTGCACAATAATTTAAAATACGTATTTAACCCCCCCCCCCCAACCTACAAAAACACATTTAAAAAAAAATGTAATATATGTACCTCGAAACTTTGTGAGGTTAGGTTCCAGAAATCGTCGCGGATCAGAAGTCACTAAATATGTTTTAAAAATATTTATATCCAGAGTTTAACCCCCAAATATGACACATCTGTACCGTACTTGACATAAATAAAAAAATCGTTTCCACAGGGAAGCCAAGTTTTTTCGAAGGAATTTCTTAACTGATTTCTTGCATGTTTTTAACTCCCCACCCCCACCCCCTCTTAAACCCCCCAAAAATTATTTAAAAACACATAAATAGAATTTTAATTTACAAAATTAATTTGTTTAACGATTTTACAATTAAAACCATGAAAGTTTATATGGCTTTAAAACATGTAACATTCACACGTCTGCTGGGTTTTTCGAGCAATTAGAAACTTTCGCAAATCTGGAGAAAAAAATCGAGAATGCAAATTAGTTAGGTTCCAAGCACAAGTTCGCGAATCTTGAAACAAGAATGCACGATGTATTACTGTAAATATGTGATATATATATATATATATATATATATATATATNTATATATATATATATATATATATATATATATATATATATATATACAATGCTTTTTTTGTAAAAAAATAGGTGTCGGTACTCAGTGATGGATTGCCTAACTAACTTTACCAGTTTGCACCTCGATGCAAGCTAAATCACAACTGCAAAGATACTAAATGTCTAAAAAAAATTATTATTGCGCGCAATTTTAAAATCATTCAATTTTAACAAATTAATAATATAATAAATTAATAAAAAACGTTAAAATACAAGAAAAGTAATAATTTTGTCCCCACATTGAAAAAGGTGCCGGTACGCCGTACCGGTGCGTACCGGCACAAAAAAGCACTGTATATATGCTAAAGCATAGTGTGTCAGCTCAAGACTTCAATAAATCTACCTCATCACACCAATCCGGCAACCGGATAAAAATCACTGTAGAATATTTTTTTTTTAAACGAACATAATTCAGTTATGGAAGTTTTTCTTCTTTAAACAACCCCCATTAGAAATAACGCTAAAAATTCACCACAAAAAATCTTCTGCTTCTTTAAAAATACAAATAATCCTGATCTTAATTGTCTTCATCTCGTTTAGAGCCATTGCCACAAAGACGTGCTTTTAAAAAAAAAATTTTTCGAATCGTTTCAACCTGATCCCACTCCACTTCTCACCATACCTTTCAATCGAATCTTGCACTGATGCTCGAAACTAGGAGCCAAAATGATCAATAAATTGATCGTGGGCCCTTAAGATATAGAAGATATAGAAACTTAAACGTTGCCTTTTGATAGGGATGTTCGAGGTCATAGTGTAGTCTTTTGATGGTGATGTTCGAGGTCATAGTGTAGTCTTTTGATGGTGATGTTCGAGGTCATAGTGTAGTCTTTTGATGGGGATGTTTGAGGTCATAATGTAGTCTTTTGATGGGGATGTTTGAGGTCATAGTATAGTCTTTTGATGGAGATGTTTGAGGTCATAGTGTAGTCTTTTGATGGGAATGTTTGAGGTCATAGTGTAGTCTTTTGATGGGAATGTTTGAGGTCATAGTGTAGTCTTTTGATGGGAATGTTTGAGGTCATAGTGTAGTCTTTTTGATGAGGATTTTTGAGGTCGTAGTGTAGTCTTTTGATGGGGATGTTTGAGGTCATAGTGTAGTCTTTTGATGGGGATTTTTGAGGTCCTAGTGTAGTCTTTTGATGGGAATGTTTGAGGTCATAGTGTAGTCTTTTGATGGGTATTTTTGAAGTCATAGTGTAGTCTTTTGATGGGGATGTTTGAGGTCATAGTGTAGTCTTTTGATGGGGATTTTTGAGGTCCTAGTGTAGTCTTTTGATGGGGATTTTTGAGGTCATAGTGTAGTCTTTTGATGGGAATGTTTGAGGTCATAGTGTAGTCTTTTGATGGGAATGTTTGAGGTCATAGTGTAGTCTTTTGATGGGGATGTTTGAGGTCATAATGTAGTCTTTTGATGGGGATGTTTGAGGTCATAGTGTAGTCTTTTGATGGGGATGTTTGAGGTCATAACGTCTGACCCTGTCTTAAAAGCTGTCCTTTTGCTTGACCTGAGTGTATTTTCTGTTGGTCAGTTGTGTGTGAAATCCACGATGACACTGCCAAACTCCCTGACTTTAGTTCTCCTATCCTTGATACTATTGTCGTTATCGGAAGCTTGATCACTGTTTTATCTCCTATCCTTGATACTATTGTCGTTATAGGAAGCGTGATCGCTGTTTTTTCTCCTATCCTTGATACTATTGTCGTTATAGGAAGCTTGATCACTGTTTTATCTCCTATCCTTGATACTATTGTCGTTATAGGAAGCTTGATCACTGTTTTTTCTCCTATCCTTGATACTATTGTCGTTATAGGAAGCTTGATCACTGTTTTTTCTCCTATCCTTGATACTATTGTCGTTATAGGAAGCTTGATCACTGTTTTTTCTCCTATCCTTGATACTATTGTCGTTATAGGAAGCTTGATCACTGTTTTTTCTCCTATCCTTGATACTATTGTCGTTATAGGAAGCTTGATCACTGTTTTTTCTCCTATCCTTGATACTATTGTCGTTATAGGAAGCTTGATCACTGTTTTTTCTCCTATCCTTGATACTATTGTCGTTATAGGAAGCTTGATCACTGTTTTTTCTCCTATCCTTGATACTATTGTCGTTATAGGAAGCTTGATCACTGTTTTTTCTCCTATCCTTGATACTATTGTCGTTATAGGAAGCTTGATCACTGTTTTTTCTCCTATCCTTGATACTATTGTCGTTATAGGAAGCTTGATCACTGTTTTTTCTCCTATCCTTGATACTATTGTCGTTATAGGAAGCTTGATCACTGTTTTTTCTCCTATCCTTGATACTATTGTCGTTATAGGAAGCTTGATCACTGTTTTTTCTCCTATCCTTGATACTATTGTCGTTATAGGAAGCTTGATCACTGTTTTTTCTCCTATCCTTGATACTATTGTCGTTATAGGAAGCTTGATCACTGTTTTTTCTCCTATCCTTGATACTATTGTCGTTATAGGAAGCTTGATCACTGTTTTTTCTTTCTAAGTTTTAATTTGATTTGTTAACAGATGCAGCTGTGAGTGTGACAAGAAATTTCGCGCGTGCTTGCAGGCAGTAGGCACGTTCACGTCACGTGCTGTTGGGTCACTGTTCTTCAACGTGGTCGGGATACACTGTATTGAAACCAAACCCATCTCAGTGGCTGGTTTCATCGTAGGCAGGTGAGAAATACAGGTATTTTTTGTAATAGGCAGGTGAGACATGCAAGTATTTTAGTTATAGGCAGGTGAGGCATGCACGGATTTTAGTTATAGATAGGTGAGACATACAAGTTATTTATAGGCAGGTGAGACATTGAAGTAATATAGTTATAGACAGGTGAGACAAAATATTTCGCTCTTAGGAAGATTAGTAATTAGTAACCATATGAGATAGGTGATAGGCACTAGAGCCACAGTGCAAAAGTAAGGACTGCATTTCTGTATGGTCAAGTGACTCACAGACACATTTGAAGGAAACTTCAGATGATCACATAGAACAGACCGTGAAGTATCGATTACTGATGCATCGATTACTGTAGTATCGAGTACTGCTGTTATCGAGTACTGCTAAAGGTGAGCGGCATTCCTTTTACTGTAGAGACCCATCATTCACCGGCACACGGGTAGATGTTGGTGGCTGGCGGGAATGAGATGAAACGGATAACCTGCAAGTGAGTCATGTAGAAGCGGGCGTTCTGTTATAATTATTTTATGTTATATTCTGTCAAACTCATGAGCTTTTCATTGTGTACATTTTTTTCAGGACGGCGGAGTTGTTTCCCCCTGAGCCCTACGACCAGGAGTCCAAAGTTCACACCTTCAGCGAAGTCCTTGCAGGAAACGTCACTCTGACGGGCTGGTTGGGATCTCTGTTTGGCGGGAAATAAGTCATTTCCATACTTAAAGTATATGATTACATAAAGACACCTACATAATCATTTCACACTTAAAGCAAATGGTCACAATGACACTTCGTAGCTGTTCTCAAAGGCTGGAATTAGAGCGCAAAGATATATGCGCATTTTCCTCGTCTAAAACTGAGCCTACGAAACTCTTGTTTAAATAAAAAAGGCATCTCTAAATAATTCTCAGTTTGAGCATCTAAGTAAAAAATGTTACAACCCGAAACACAACCGTCACAAAACATGGCTGGCTTTCATGGTGATATTTATTGCAGATACATAGTATATGTTTTTGTTTTTTTACTCTGTAAGTCTTTGTTAAGTTATATAATTTTTATGTCATCTCAAATAAAGGATCATAACATGAATGATACCAGTTATTGTCAGTTTTATGAGGATTATTTCCCTTTAAAATCTGGAGTCTATGACATTTATTTACCTCCCTTTGTAATCACCCATCCCTGAATACTTCTATCTATCCATCCATCCATCCATCCATCCATCCATCCATCCATCCATCCATCCATCCATCCATCCATCCATCCGTCCATCTATCCATCCATCCATCCAACCATCTATCCATCCAACCAACCATCTATCCATCCATCCAACCATCTATCTATCCATCCATCCATCCATCCATCCATCCATCCATCCATCCATCCATCCATCCATCCATCCATCCATCTATCTATCTATCTATCTAATCTATCTAATCTGTCTATCTGTCTATCTATCTATGTGTCCGTCCGCCCGTCCGCCCGTCCGTCTGTCTGTCTGTCTGTCTGTTTGTCTGTCTGTCTGTCTGTCTGTCTTTCCTTCCTTCTTTCTTTATATATGTATATATATATATATTTATATATGGCGTGGCGCAGCAAGGATCAGTTGTGCCCGGGGCGGGCCAGGATACTAAGTATACAAAAACAAGAAGCTAAAATGTCGAATGATGCTTGAAAAGGTGTGGGCCGACAGGCCGACACCAAGACTTTAGGGGAGCATGTGGTATTTAAGAAAAAAACAAACAAACAAACAGATAATTTATTGAAATGTTTGTCAATTAAAATCTTTTTTTTTTTTAAATACACGACTCGGTCTTGTAAACTCAAATGTGTTTTGTCAGCTCATGGACACGAATTCTGGCAGTTTCGTGTGACTCCTTATCGCTTGCATTCGAAACTTTCGCTAAATCAAACCATGACACGTCACGTTGATGTGCAATGTTGGGTGACGGATGTCATGACAGCTTGATGACATTTCAAATCTCCACTGTAATCGAGGTGGCCGCAAGATCAGAGGGCCGTAATCGTGGGTAAGGTAAGAAATGCACAACATTGGGGGTGGGTGGTGGGTGGGGGGGGAGGAACACTATGCTATCTGATGTAAGTCGGCCCCCCCCCCCAACCAACAGTTTTTTTGTAAGCATTTAACCCATGTGCTTTCTGAATTGATTTCACCGCAGGTGGGCTTGAGTTGCCGGGCGAGCCATTTGACATGCAAGTGACGTTTACTGTCACCCTTAGCTCTTTGGTTTTAACTCTTGACCTCTTAAGGGCATGCTCGTCCGACTTCATCGGGACTGTCTGTTGGCTTCAGAGGACCGAAATGATATTTCGGAGAGTGTCAGTGTCATCTTACTAGTCAAAAATATGTAAGTGTTTAAATATTTGCTTATTTGCTCCAAACTCCAAAATAATTTGACTTCGTTGTTCGGTGTTAGGGGTCGTTTGTAAATTAAGTCACGCTAAAAATGACCTTTTTTAGACCCCGCCCTCCCACCCTGTCACGAATATTCACAAATTCTTTAACTCACCCCCCCCCCCTCCCGTGTCACGTCACACCTAAAAAATTTAAAAACATACATACAATTTTCATAACTAAACTAAGATTTTATTTTATTCTTTAAAATTTTCCCATAATGGATTAAGATGTAGTATTATTTTCGAACCGTTGAATCTGTTGTGTTGTAATTATCCACTCATGGCAATGAGTGTCTACTTGTCTGGCCAAGTCTCTCACTTGATCCCACCAATAGTGTAGCTAATATCAACAGTTAATAATACAGCCAACGTCAACAGGTTTTTAGCTAGATAAGAGTTTATTTAACACTACTCCACTAACTATTGTTGATGTATAATTTCAGAATTGATAATCAAATCACTCTAACCAAACACTACTCAATATAGAAATCCAAACAGTTCATCCAGTATATCCGCCATCAATCTTCCATCACAACAACCGCCATCTCTATCCTTCCATCAACAACCAAACTGACGCGTCATATCCCCATACACAATTACGTTACAACACTCTCTCACAAACGATACAGCTACACATAAAATCTCTAACTCAACATCTTTCCCTATCAAACATGAAAACAATCATCTACACATAACAACAGTGATTCTCATACCCTTGACAATTATTAGAAAACTGAGTTTCATAGTACCTATAATACCTGAGTAGTGATATACGCACGAATCAGGGCGTAAATTGGCGGGTGAAGGACGGGTGAGCCCGCCAGACCCGCCAAGGGGTATAACCCGATAATTACTGTCTTATAAAAGTGACCTCCCTTTGTTGTCCGAGTGTAATTATTGTTGTATTGATTATATTAATTATTGTTGTCCGAGCGTAATTATTGTTGTATTGATTATTTTTTGTATTGTGTAATTAGAGTTGTACTGTTGTAAATGATTTGTAATTAGTTTGATTAATGACGACATCAAAGAGATAACAAAAGAGGAATTGTTTTTTATATATTACTTTTATTATATTTTATGACAAGTGCATGATTCAACAGAATCATGATTGATTCAACAGAATCACAATTTTATTGCATAATTTTAATATAAGTGGTTCTCAAATTTCTATTGAGTGGTTCTCATTTTCTCTAATGAGTGGTTCTCATAGTGTTTTGGTTGCATAATTTCTTATATTTTTAATTAGTTTTCTTGTATATTTTAAGTGGTAATCACGATGTCGGGGTTGATTTTCTAATAAGTGGTGCTCATTAGGTGTGACTCATAACGAGTTTTCTTCTAGTTATGGAATAATTCTGTTGCAACAGGATAAGTTTATTGAATTTTATTGATGAGTAAGCAAATAATTCTCATTTTCAGTAGGTTCTCAAAGTGTTTTGGTTGTATATTTTCTTGTATTTTAATGAGCTTTCTTGTCTATTTTAAGTGATTCTCAAAGTATGGGGGTCATTTTTGGTTGCATTTTAATAGGTTCTCTTATATTTTTAATTAGTTTTCTTGTATATTTAAAAGGTCAAGGGCGGGTCAGGGTTGATTTTCTAATAAGTGGTTCTCATTAGGTGTGAATCATAACGAGTTTTCTTCTTGTTATGGAATAATGCGGTTGTAACAGGATAACTTTATTGAATTTTATTGATGAGTAAGCAAATATTTCTCATTTTCAGGGATTCTCAAAGTGTTTTGATTGTATACTTTCTTGTATTTTAATTAGTTTTCTTGTCTATTTTAAGTGATTCTCAAAGTATGTGGGTCATTTTTGGTTGCATTTTAGTAGGTTTTCTTATATTTTTTAATTAGTTTTCTTGTATATTTAAAGTGGTTATCACGATGTCGGGGTTGATTTTCTAATAAGTGGTTCTCATTAGGTGTGACTCATAACGAGTTTTCTTCTTGATATGGAATAATTCTGGTGTAACAGGATAAGTTTATTGAATTTTATTGATGGGTAATCAAATATTTCTCATTGTCAAGGGGTTCTCAAAGTGTTTTGGGTATATTTTCTTGTATTTTAATTAGTTTTCTTGTCTATTGTATATGGTTTGGTAGGCAGGACAGGTGGTTTTAAGCTTCTTCTTGACAAGTTGAGGACCGAGTAGGGTCCAAATTAGAGATATTGTAGTGTGTTGTTTAAATTTTTTAGGCTTAGTGGGTTATGTTTTGTAAGCATGACAGATGTTTTAAGTTTTTTCTTGGCAATTTTGAGGACCGAGTAGGGTCCTAATTAGAGTTATTGTAGTGTGTTGTTTACATTTTTAGTCTAGGGGTTATATTTTTTTAATTATCAGTGACTTACAAGGCATACCATCACCACACCTGCGCTCACAAGTCACGCTACACCGCGCATTGTAACCAAAGGCCACAGCTCGTCCATTGTTCACATTTCCCCGCTACGCTTGTTAACAAAAGGGCTGACGTGTTCTGTGAGTGGCGGGGCGCTCTGGTTAGACCATAAACAAAAATGGCGCCCGGGGAGCTAGCTACAAGAAATTTTAAAAGTAGTGTTGTGTATTTTATACTGACAGGGCTCCCTCGTGGTTCTACCAGATATTCTGACAGACTTCATATCAAGCACTAGGCATTCCACTGAGAATAAAACGTAAGAAATGTATGGATTAACCATGTTTCCCATGTCATCCCCCAACCTTCATGATTCGTCCGACTATGGGTAGACACCTGCACCTGAGACAAATCTAACAGGTGGTTAGTACAAGGGATCTCATCTATTGGACTGGGGGAATGAGGGGTGTTACTATAGCAGGAGTCTGGGTATTAACAGGTAGTATATTAGAAAGATTTAGACCCATTTGTTTAGATGAAATTTTTCGATGGTCTGAGGGTAGACACAACCATTACAAGTGCCCATAGGGGCGGGGGATTGTAAGCGATACGGGGGTAAATGAATTTTAGTGACAAGGGTTCTAAAAAAATTTTTTTTTTTTTTTAATTTGTAATGTTTATTAGTAAAGTATATACATCAACAACAGATAGAAAATAACAGGAGTCATACATTTTAATTGTTTTTTTAATTGTCCGATACAAACATAGTTATTTTAAGTCATACATTTTAATAGGTTATTGACATTATTTTTTAAGAGGTAAAGACGACCCTTGTGTTTTTACAAGCGTTCGTTTGTCCAGGTGTTGGCGTTATCTTGAGGCAACAAGAATGGATAGGGCGCCAAAGCCGACAAAACCAATAGCAGTAAATAAAGTACATTTCCATATCTTTTCAGCCAGTTCCGATTGAGCTGGAAAAAACTCAACGAATCCATCCTGAAAATTAAGAATAATACATATAGTTATAGTAAGACATATGTTTTTTCTCTTTGTGTCCAACGATAACGTATAATTTCCAGACGGAAAGCCTTGCCTAGGGCATCTAAACTAATATTTTTTATTAACTATACGATAGTCTTTAGGTCTACTTAAAACTATAAAAAATAAAATAATTACCCATCCTCCATTGTCGAGAATCCATTTTCCAAGTTTGTTAGCAACATATTTTCCAACAAATAAGGCAAACTTCTTTTGGTAAGGTATGGACCTCGAAGAATAGGATTCATTTATGTTATCAGATTGTTCATTTTTATTATTGTCAATGTAATACTTGACAACTCGTGCAGCAAAGGCATAAACAGCAACAAGCCTTCCCCAGTTTACTTGTCCATCAGCAAAGATTTCATCCGCAACAATAACAAAAGTTGGAAATGCATTTGTTTCATCTGGTTTTAGTCTGTTGACCAACCCGGTAAAAACTAAATCATGCCGATCTGACAGCTCTTTCACAGTACGCCGTAAGGTGCGACAATATTTATTGGGAGGCTTTTTAGGATTCACTTGATCAAAAGTAATAAGTAAATCTTCTGTCATAGACTCTGCCTCACGACAAATTTGATCCAACGGTGAGTTGGAGAATGTCTGGGGACTAGCTTCCATCACGCTTGCAATATCGACTTATAGTGTTATGTATCACTTTTCCACACTGGGAACACAAAATATTAAGTAAAAAAGGAAAACGGCTATAAGAAAAAAGCCACTTTAAAGTTTAAATTTAGATTGTTAGACATTTTAAATCATGGCCCATTTCCTTCACAGGAGCAGTCAACTTGTCACGGATAAAGGCAAAATCCGTTTCAACACTTTCTTGATTTCGTTGAAACGATTGATCCAATCCCGAGGTTAACATTGTCAGCAAGAATAACTCAGACTGAGTTGTATCATCCCACTGACTCAAAATATCCGCCTGCTCAGCGGGGGTAAAAATGCCCCGTTGTACCAGACCACTGAGAATGTAACGGGGAGTTAAGTTATCCACTAGAAATGTCCAATTTTTAAGTAGGATTGTTTTATCTGTGTGGTTCATACTTGTTACTCTCCCTCAACACCATGTGTAGTTTGCGCTGAACCTGATAAAATAAAGCCAGAGGTTCTCAATCAAGGAAGAGGGTCAAATGTTAAACGGGTCTCTCATCTATCCTACAACTCGATTATTTTCTTTTTAGTCTAGTTCACAAAGGGTTCGTATCGCAAACACAAGTCTCTTTAACTTTCCAACCGCGTGGGACATCGGGATTTTCACAAGTGCAATCGTCACGAAGGTTACGCTACCAAACGTTCAAATCACAACTAACATCGCATGAACAGCGATCGACTCGTCTGTACAAGAGTATTGTCGGACCACCAGGAATGAAAAGGCTAGAAGTTTGGGGTGGATTATATACACACTACAACAATGATTGCGCGAGCCAGCGCAAGCGTGGTCAATGACCGGGTAATGACCCTTCGGGCGAGTCTAATACCGCCCCACCCCCCTTGTTAAACGCTTAGTACCGATGTACCTTCCCATCTCTCCCCCCTCAGCTCGACTCTAATCTTTTTTCCAACCCACCGATCAACAAAGTACCCTCCCTTTCCCAACCCAACTTTACGAGGACCAGCTACCATAACATTTAAAAACTTAACACTCTTGGTCGTCTCACATCGACGCTTAAATTTGTCTGTCCCCACCACACCTAAAAAATTTTTCACCCTTTGCAAACTTTACAACAGACCCATCTACCACATCATGACACCCCGTTACTAGGTTCGTTGTCCCCGTCACAACTAACAAATGTGCCTCCCTTCAAACTTTAAAGCAGGCTCAGCTACCTCATCATAACACCCCGGTTGTGTTTTGTCTTGTTTCTCAACTAACTTTCTGTCAAACTTACCAACGACGGATACATCTGGATTTTTTCAAAGACAGTTTTTAATTTTCTCAAATCCAGTTTTTAAAGTTCTCATGTGCAACTTTTAATCTTTACCACGCAGTGTTTTAATAGTTACCATGCAACTTTTAATTGTTACCATGCAGTGTTTTAATTTTGACTATGCAATTTTTAAAGTTCTCAAAGGCAACTTTTAATCTTTACCACGTAGTGTTTTAATAGTTACCAGGCCGTGTTTTAATTTTGACCATGCACTTTTTAAAGTTCTCAAAGCCAACTTTTAATCTTTACCACGTAGTGTTTTAAGTGCTACCAAGCAGTGTTTTAATTGTTACCATGCAATGTTTTAATCGTTAAGAGCCACACATTTCATGTCATCTACCCACTCAACATCTTTCCAGCCAACATTACCCGTCAAAACTTTACGATGGTCATCTACCATATCATATACCACGTTAGTGTTTTGGCTTCTCTGACCACAGACATCTGTCTTCGTCTCTTCTAAGAGCTCTCCCTACCTCCATCTTTTCTCTAATCATCTCAACTCTTTCAATATCTTTCATGCTACCACAGCCAAGTCCACATTCAAACTTTATTAATATGTCCAACTTCACTCAAACATTACTATGTATTACTTGAGTCTCATAACACTTCTTAACCTTACTGTTTTTAACTTTTCATCGACCCACAGAACCAAAGTTCATATCAACTATTGTAGCTAAACTTTTCCAACACAACTATCGAAGTGTCCTCAAACACATAACTTCCATTTTTTCGAGATGACCGACTACCCAACCACTTGTATTCCACGGTTATGTACCACTTACATGACTAGAGATTACACTAGGCCTTCCATTCATCTCAGGGACCCAGGGCGTTTATCCCATGTAACCTACACACTTATGATGCAATCTCCAAAACACACAACTCCTAACTTACATCTTACAACTAAAAACTCGCCAAACAATCTCCAAAACTCACATGTCACAATTCACAACTCGCATGTCACAATTCACACTTCACAAAACACAACTAACAGCTCACAAATCACCACTACCAAGGTTTGACCAATAGACAAAAATAACAACAACATAGTAAAATAAAACTTAAAGGGCAAAAAATGATAAAAATATTTCCTCCTCCTCCTCCTTGTCGGATACTGACGAAGCTGAATTTAGTGTCCTCTCACAACCAACCTACTTTGCTCTGAACATTTCTTTCTCCCCCTTCTCAGAAAATTTCCTCCTCGCTTAACCTCCGTTGATCTGATCCTTTCCTCCTCCTCCTCATCCAAAGAAACTGAGTTTAATCTCCTCTCCCCTACACCCTTTTTTGGTCTAAGTATTTATTCTTCCTCATCCTTCTCTCAAATAAGCCTCTATCCCTAATATTTTTTGGTCTTATCCTTTCCTCCTACTCATTAGAGCCTAATGAAGCTGAGTTTAGTCTTCTCTCAACCCCCAACCTCCTATGTTCTGAATCTTTCTTCTTCCTACTCCTCCTCAAGAAAAAGGACTCCTCGACCTCGCAACCCCCAACCTGCTGTCTTCTGAAGCTTTCTTCTTCCTACTAATCCTCAAGAAAAAGGACTCCTTCTACGAAATATTTTTATCATTTTTTGCCCTTTAAGTTTTATTTTACTATGTTGTTGTTATTTTTGTCTATTGGTCAAACCTTGGTAGTGGTGATTTGTGAGCTGTTAGTTGTGTTTTGTGAAGTGTGAATTGTGACATGCGAGTTGTGAATTGTGACATGTGAGTTTTGGAGATTGTTTGGCGAGTTTTTAGTTGTAAGATGTAAGTTAGGAGTTGTGTGTTTTGGAGATTGCATCATAAGTGTGTAGGTTACATGGGATAAACGCCCTGGGTCCCTGAGATGAATGGAAGGCCTAGTGTAATCTCTAGTCATGTAAGTGGTACATAACCGTGGAATACAAGTGGTTGGGTAGTCGGTCATCTCGAAAAAATGGAAGTTATGTGTTTGAGGACACTTCGATAGTTGTGTTGGAAAAGTTTAGCTACAATAGTTGATATGAACTTTGGTTCTGTGGGTCGATGAAAAGTTAAAAACAGTAAGGTTAAGAAGTGTTATGAGACTCAAGTAATACATAGTAATGTTTGAGTGAAGTTGGACATATTAATAAAGTTTGAATGTGGACTTGGCTGTGGTAGCATGAAAGATATTGAAAGAGTTGAGATGATTAGAGAAAAGATGGAGGTAGGGAGAGCTCTTAGAAGAGACGAAGACAGATGTCTGTGGTCAGAGAAGCCAAAACACTAACGTGGTATATGATATGGTAGATGACCATCGTAAAGTTTTGACGGGTAATGTTGGCTGGAAAGATGTTGAGTGGGTAGATGACATGAAATGTGTGGCTCTTAACGATTAAAACATTGCATGGTAACAATTAAAACACTGCTTGGTAGCACTTAAAACACTACGTGGTAAAGATTAAAAGTTGGCTTTGAGAACTTTAAAAAGTGCATGGTCAAAATTAAAACACGGCCTGGTAACTATTAAAACACTACGTGGTAAAGATTAAAAGTTGCCTTTGAGAACTTTAAAAATTGCATAGTCAAAATTAAAACACTGCATGGTAACAATTAAAAGTTGCATGGTAACTATTAAAACACTGCGTGGTAAAGATTAAAAGTTGCACATGAGAACTTTAAAAACTGGATTTGAGAAAATTAAAAACTGTCTTTGAAAAAATCCAGATGTATCCGTCGTTGGTAAGTTTGACAGAAAGTTAGTTGAGAAACAAGACAAAACACAACCGGGGTGTTATGATGAGGTAGCTGAGCCTGCTTTAAAGTTTGAAGGGAGGCACATTTGTTAGTTGTGACGGGGACAACGAACCTAGTAACGGGGTGTTATGATGTGGTAGATGGGTCTGTTGTAAAGTTTGCAAAGGGTGAAAAATTTTTTAGGTGTGGTGGGGACAGACAAATTTAAGCGTCGATGTGAGACGACCAAGAGTGTTAAGTTTTTAAATGTTATGGTAGCTGGTCCTCGTAAAGTTGGGTTGGGAAAGGGAGGGTACTTTGTTGATCGGTGGGTTGGAAAAAAGATTAGAGTCGAGCTGAGGGGGGAGAGATGGGAAGGTACATCGGTACTAAGCGTTTAACAAGGGGGGTGGGGCGGTATTAGACTCGCCCGAAGGGTCATTACCCGGTCATTGACCACGCTTGCGCTGGCTCGCGCAATCATTGTTGTAGTGTGTATATAATCCACCCCAAACTTCTAGCCTTTTCATTCCTGGTGGTCCGACAATACTCTTGTACAGACGAGTCGATCACTGTTCATGCGATGTTAGTTGTGATTTGAACGTTTGGTAGCGTAACCTTCGTGACGATTGCACTTGTGAAAATCCCGATGTCCCACGCGGTTGGAAAGTTAAAGAGACTTGTGTTTGCGATACGAACCCTTTGTGAACTAGACTAAAAAGAAAATAATCGAGTTGTAGGATAGATGAGAGACCCGTTTAACATTTGACCCTCTTCCTTGATTGAGAACCTCTGGCTTTATTTTATCAGGTTCAGCGCAAACTACACATGGTGTTGAGGGAGAGTAACAAGTATGAACCACACAGATAAAACAATCCTACTTAAAAATTGGACATTTCTAGTGGATAACTTAACTCCCCGTTACATTCTCAGTGGTCTGGTACAACGGGGCATTTTTACCCCCGCTGAGCAGGCGGATATTTTGAGTCACTGGGATGATACAACTCAGTCTGAGTTATTCTTGCTGACAATGTTAACCTCGGGATTGGATCAATCGTTTCAACGAAATCAAGAAAGTGTTGAAACGGATTTTGCCTTTATCCGTGACAAGTTGACTGCTCCTGTGAAGGAAATGGGCCATGATTTAAAATGTCTAACAATCTAAATTTAAACTTTAAAGTGGCTTTTTTCTTATAGCCGTTTTCCTTTTTTACTTAATTTTTTGTGTTCCCAGTGTGGAAAAGTGATACATAACACTATAAGTCGATATTGCAAGCGTGATGGAAGCTAGTCCCCAGACATTCTCCAACTCACCGTTGGATCAAATTTGTCGTGAGGCAGAGTCTATGGCAGAAGATTTACTTATTACTTTTGATCAAGTGAATCCTAAAAAGCCTCCCAATAAATATTGTCGCACCTTACGGCGTACTGTGAAAGAGCTGTCAGATCGGCATGATTTAGTTTTTACCGGGTTGGTCAACAGACTAAAACCAGATGAAACAAATGCATTTCCAACTTTTGTTATTGTTGCGGATGAAATCTTTGCTGATGGACAAGTAAACTGGGGAAGGCTTGTTGCTGTTTATGCCTTTGCTGCACGAGTTGTCAAGTATTACATTGACAATAATAAAAATGAACAATCTGATAACATAAATGAATCCTATTCTTCGAGGTCCATACCTTACCAAAAGAAGTTTGCCTTATTTGTTGGAAAATATGTTGCTAACAAACTTGGAAAATGGATTCTCGACAATGGAGGATGGGTAATCATTTTATTTTTTTATAGTTTTAAGTAGACCTAAAGACTATCGTATAGTTAATAAAAATATTAGTATAGGCGCCCTAGGCAAGGCTTTCCGTCTGGAATTTATACGTTATCGTTGGACACAAAGAGAAAAAACATATGTCATACTATAACTATATGTATTATTCTTAATTTTCAGGATGGATTCGTTGAGTTTTTTCCAGCTCAATCGGAACTGGCTGAAAAGATATGGAAAAGTACTTTATTTACTGCTATTGGTTTTGTCGGCTTTGGCGCCCTATCCATTCTTGTTGCCTCAAGATAACGCCAACACCTGGACAAACGAACGCTTGTAAAAACACAAGGGTCGTCTTTACCTCTTAAAAAATAATGTCAATAACCTATTAAAATGTATGACTTAAAATAACTATGTTTGTATCGGACAATAAAAAAAACAATTAAAATGTATGACTCCTGTTATTTTCTATCTGTTGTTGATGTATATACTTTACTAATAAACATTACAAATTTTAAAATTTTTAGAACCCTTGTCACTAAAAGTCATTTACCCCCGTATCGCTTACAATCCCCCGCCCCTATGGGCACTTGTAATGGTTGTGTCTACCCTCAGACCATCGAAAAATTTCATCTAAACAAATGGGTCTAAATCTTTCTAATACACTACCTGTTAATACCCAGACTCCTGCTATAGTAACACCCCTCATTCCCCCAGTCCAATAGATGAGATCCCTTGTACTAACCACCTGTTAGATTTGTCTCAGGTGCAGGTGTCTACCCATAGTCGGACGAATCATGAAGGTTGGGGGATGACATGGGAAACATGGTTAATCCATACATTTCTTACGTTTTATTCTCAGTGGAATGCCTAGTGCTTGATATGAAGTCTGTCAGAATATCTGGTAGAACCAAGAGGGAGCCCTGTCAGTATACAATACACAACCCTACTTTTAAACTTTCTTGTAGCTAGCTCCCCGGGCGCCATTTTTGTTTATAGGCTAACCAGAGCGCCCCGCCACTCACAGAACACGTCAGCCCTTTTGTTAACAAGCGTAGCGGGGAAATGTGAACAATGGACGAGCTGTGGCCGTTGGTTACAATGCGCGGTGTAGCGTGACTTGTGAGCGCAGGTGGGGTGATGGTATGTCTTGTAAGTCAAGAGTTGAAGTCATTGATAATTAAAAAATATAACCCCCTAGACTAAAAATGTAAACAACACACTACAATAACTCTAATTAGGACCCTACTCGGTCCTCAAAATTGCCAAGAAAAAACTTAAAACATCTGTCATGCTTACAAAACATAACCCACTAAGCCTAAAAAATTTAAACAACACACTACAATATCTCTAATTAGGACCCTACTCGGTCCTCAACTTGCCAAGAAGAAGCTTAAAACCACCTGTCCTGCCTACCAAACCATATACAATATACAAGAAAACTAATTAAAATACAAGAAAATATACAACCAAAACACTTTGAGAACCACCTGAAAATGAGAAATATTTGATTACTCATCAATAAAATTCAATAAACTTATCCTGTTACACCAGAATTATTCCATATCAAGAAGAAAACTCGTTATGAGTCACACCTAATGAGAACCACTTATTAGAAAATCAACCCCGACATCGTGATAACCACTTTAAATATACAAGAAAACTAATTAAAAAATATAAGAAAACCTACTAAAATGCAACCAAAAATGACCCACATACTTTGAGAATCACTTAAAATAGACAAGAAAACTAATTAAAATACAAGAAAGTATACAATCAAAACACTTTGAGAATCCCTGAAAATGAGAAATATTTGCTTACTCATCAAATGTGTGTGTGTGTAGTGCGGTCGAATGGCCTGTCCGTTGCAAGGCAGACGGGTGAAAAGAAAAAAGCAGAAATGGCGCCCGATGTGACCATTATCACAACACACACAGACTCCTGCTATAGTATAACCAGAGAGTCAAATACCTGAGACGACTTGGATTCAAAACCTGAACTTTGGTTCTGTGGGTCGATGCAAAGTTAAAAACATTATGGTAAAGAGGTGTTATGAGACTCGTGTAAGACATAGTAATGTTTGAAAGATGTTGGACATAATAATGTTTGAATGTGGACTTGCCTGTGGTAGCATGAAAGATGTTGAAAGAGTTGAGATGATCAGAAAAAAGATGGAGGTAGGACGAGCTGTTAGATGAGACGAAAACAGATGTATGTGGTCAGAGAAGACAAAACACTAATGTGGTATATGATATGGTAGATGCCCCTCGTAAAGTTTTGATTGGTAATGTTGGATGGACCGAGGTTGAGTGGGTCGATGAAATGAAATTTGTGCCTGGTAACGAATAAAACACTCATGGTAACAATTAAAGCCATGCATGGTAACAATTAAAACACTGCGTGGTAAAGATTAAAAGTTGCCTTTGAGAACTTTAAAAATTGCATGGTCAAAATTAAAACACTGCATGGTACCGATTAAAAGTTGCGTGGTAACTATTAAAACACTGCATGATAACTTTAAAAAAAAACTGCGTGGTAACAATTAAAAGTTGCATTTGAGAACTTTAAAAGTTGCATGGTAACGATTAAAACACTGCGTGGTAAAGATTAAAAGTTGCACTTGAGAACTTTAAAAACTGGATTTGAGAAAATTAAAAACTGTCTTTGAAAAAATCCAGATGTATCCGTCGTATGAGAATCACTTAAAATAGACAAGAAAACTAATTAAAATACAAGAAAGTATACAATCAAAACACTTTGAGAATCCCTGAAAATGAGAAATATTTGCTTACTCATCAATAAAATTCAATAAAGTTATCCTGTTACAACCGCATTATTCCATAACAAGAAGAAAACTCGTTATGATTCACACCTAATGAGAACCACTTATTAGAAAATCAACCCTGACCCGCCCTTGACCTTTTAAATATACAAGAAAACTAATTAAAAATATAAGAGAACCTATTAAAATGCAACCAAAAATGACCCCCATACTTTGAGAATCACTTAAAATAGACAAGAAAGCTCATTAAAATACAAGAAAATATACAACCAAAACACTTTGAGAACCTACTGAAAATGAGAATTATTTGCTTACTCATCAATAAAATTCAATAAACTTATCCTGTTGCAACAGAATTATTCCATAACTAGAAGAAAACTCGTTATGAGTCACACCTAATGAGCACCACTTATTAGAAAATCAACCCCGACATCGTGATTACCACTTAAAATATACAAGAAAACTAATTAAAAATATAAGAAATTATGCAACCAAAACACTATGAGAACCACTCATTAGAGAAAATGAGAACCACTCAATAGAAATTTGAGAACCACTTATATTAAAATTATGCAATAAAATTGTGATTCTGTTGAATCAATCATGATTCTGTTGAATCATGCACTTGTCATAAAATATAATAAAAGTAATATATAAAAAACAATTCCTCTTTTGTTATCTCTTTGATGTCGTCATTAATCAAACTAATTACAAATCATTTACAACAGTACAACTCTAATTACACAATACAAAAAATAATCAATACAACAATAATTACGCTCGGACAACAATAATTAATATAATCAATACAACAATAATTACACTCGGACAACAAAGGGAGGTCACTTTTATAAGACAGTAATTATCGGGTTATACCCCTTGGCGGGTCTGGCGGGCTCACCCGTCCTTCACCCGCCAATTTACGCCCTGATTCGTGCGTATATCACTACTTACCTGACGCAATTTCGACCTCAAATAATGTTTTCTTTAAATTAATTAAATTTTAAAAAAAACTTGACGTCACAAATTTTTGACCACCCCCTCCCCCTGCCACAGTGTCCCGAATTCTCGACCCCCCCCCTTCCCCCTGAGCCTGACGTTATTTGCGAACGCCCCCTCAGTGAGCTATGATTTTGGATGATAATTTAGTGGTGTAAACTGTTACCACTCGCCCAAAGCCAGTCATGAAACAATATTTTGTAGGCCATTTTACTGTAGAAGATATGCGTTTCGTCAAAAAACCTCTAAAAATATATATATATTTTTTTTAATATCTAAAGCTTTAGCGCTCACTTAACTCCATCGGTAAGTGTTTGTTGTGTTTGTGTTTCCATGTCACATGTGTCAAACTCAAGGCCTGTGGGCCACATCCGGCCGGCGTACAATTACATCCAAGTCAACGCTAACATTTTGTTATCGTTCAGTGTCTTTACAAATATCGTAGGTCCTAAGGTCAATCGGGGTCCGCTAATTGATGTCAGAAACTGACAAGGACAGGATTTTCGTTTTCCAAAAAAAAAATAAAAAAAAAAAATAAATAAAACGACGTTTCCAAAAATAGATTCCTGGTGATTAGAATAAAATCAGAGGTAAATTTATCATTCCGGACTTTTTTTTTTCTTTCTGCCACTTGCCAATATATTCTTCTTCTTATATTTGAGGGGCCCACGATCAATTTGTTGATCATTCTGGCTCCTGGTTTAAATTTTAGAGTTTGCCTTCTCTTAGATGGGTTGCCATCCAAGGCTAACGAGTCCCATCCACCCGGGCTGCTTGGGATGTTGGCTTTGGTAGGGAATTGTTCAATAGTCCAGACCACCAGCTATTTGGGTTGAGACAGTTTAGACCGCTCGGCCACCCAGCACCCAAATTAATATTATTAATTATTATTATGAGTTAAAATGTTTTGCAGATCATTGTATCTCAATCTGGCCATTGCTTGTACAGTGCGTGTAGACTTTTTTTTTTACAGTGGGCAGAAAGTTTTTCGGGGTGTGGTGACGCCATTGTCACGTGATATGCACACTGCGTAAGTTGATAATAATTTTTTTTATTTTTTGAAAAGGACAGGGGCAGTTTGGATAAATCGTCGTTCTTTTTGTACAAATAATGGTTGGCTAATTGGTTCGAGTTATTTTCTCAAGGAAAAACTCGAGAGAGAAAATAACGGAGCGGTCCAAGGGTGGATTCACGATATGAAAGGAGTGGGGGAACTTGGGAAGAGGGGACAAATTTTCATTTCACATGATTGAATGCATGATAAAAATCAATGTTGAATTCACGATGAAAACACATCTACTCGTAGCGCCTTGAAGGGCGCACTTCCTTCTTCTCCCCCCCCCCCCCCCCCCAAGTGAATGCTACTCGAATCCTTTAAGTGTCATCGCTGCCCTGTTAAATTATAACCTGAATGATATTTAACTAGTTTAAGCGTGGCCAGTCGGGAAGCAGTGGCGTTACTTCAGGATTTTCAGGATTTTTCACACACACACACACACACACAAAAGGGGTGGGGTGGGGTGGGGGGGGGAGAGACTAAAACTTGGTCAGCTTGTTAAGTTGTTTTGTTTTTTTTACTGGAGGCGCCACAGTGCATAGTAATTAAAATACTTCTGCGAATTCAAGGGGGAGAATGCCCCACCTTGCCCAACCCAAAATGACGCCCCTGTCGGTAAGCAGAACTTAAAAAAAAAAATTCACATTGTGGGTGCGGTTAGGGGGTGGCTGGGTTATTTGTTATTTCATTTGTGTTAAGGTGGGCGAGAGTATGACTTTGAAGTACCTCACAACGACAGTAATCAATGTATGGTCAAGTCTTACATCCTTTTTTAAAAAAAATTTGAGGTTAAAATCGATTTGAAAACTCAATGAAAACAGCAGCATGCGATGAAGCGAGTGTTTCTCGGTAAAGGGTGTGACGTCATAGTATAGTCTTTTCATTGACCCTCAAATCGAAGTGGTGATCTGTCTTGCCAGGTACACGTAGGGTCAACACTTTGGCGTTTCTGGTTCAGTTTGCCAAATGGGAAACAATATTACTATTTTCATTTAAATGTTTAGACTTCATCTTCAAACAATAATTGCTTGCTTGATATAAGGTCAAGATATATCAAATACGACTCAAATCCCAAATAATCTTATCGCCGTATGGCCTCAGTTGGTTTTTTTGTTGTTGGTGGGAATAAGATAGAATTGGGGTGGGAAAACTACGGCCCCCGGGCCGCATGCGGCCCGACAACCGATACTATACGGCGCTCGAAGGCATTTAGAAAATTTAAAAAAAAAATTCTGTTTAAGTTATTTTGTTGAACTTTACAGAATCTCATGTACCGTTATGATTGTTTGAACATTATTCTATGAATTTTCTTTCTAATCTTCTTTTTTTTTAAAAACAGTCCTTGACTTTTGTCATAATATGTTAAATGCGAATTTACCGATTTTAAAATAGAGAAATGTTAAAAAAATGAATCTCCATGCGGCCCCCAATAGCTTTGCATTGGTCAATGTGGCCCACCGCTCAAAAAGTTTGCCCACACCCGAGGTAGAGAGAAATCAGAGGTATTGCTCTCTGAATGCTATTCATACGAGCCAAACTACTTTCAAATAAAACGTCTCGTTTAATAGCTACAATAGTGGATGGGTTTTTATTTCTTCTTTTTAAAAAAAAAATAATGTTTTACTCTAGACAATGGCGTCATTAGGGGGTGTTGGCCGCACCGGGTGACCCCCTTTCCACGGATGTAAAATCAAATGGGAAATTGCAAATCTGGCAAAGCTCACCCAAATGTTTTTCCTAACGTATCTACTAACATGCAATAGCAAGGTGGTAGAATCCAGATGGGGATGACACCGTCATATTACCACACCAGATGTCACAAAACCCTTCTGACGCCTCTGGCGCCTGTATTACAATCGACACTTTATGGATACAAAGACTAATTATTTTTTAAATGCTGTTTTAAACATCCTTTTTAACGTATTGACTAATGTCAAGTTATTTGGCATTAATTTTTTTTTTTTTTTAAATGACATGACATGGTAGGAAAAGATGAGACTGGCTTCCCTGTCTGGAATCACAGAGACATGTTCGTTGACCAACATCAAGCTCATCATCATGGTCTGGTCAGTGGTGTGCCACGGCATCGTGTCACAGACATCTGCCGGCGACGGTGACATTCCGGGTGACAGCGAGACCTCGCCTTCAGCTGGCCGGGACTGGGCCAAAGTGAGGCGAGACGACGCTGTCCAGAGATACACTCCATTTTCAGCGCGGAGTTACGGGTAAACAAATAAATTGTACAGCATGAATCTGTGAGTTATATCCTACTGTAGGCTTGTCAAAGACGTAAAACAACTAATTTTTTTTAAATAGATTTAATCAGTTTTAAAAACTAATCTCAAATCGGTGTGAAACGTCAGAGTTTGTTTGTTTTTGTTTTTAGAATTCTAAAAAAATAATGAGATTGGAAGAGAGCACCAGCAACTTCAGTGTATTTTTAAAAAAAATATTTTTAATATTATGCTATCTTTACAAAGTTCTTAAAACGGACAATTACCATTAAAAATAAAGAAGAAATGTTTGCTTATTAAATGAACTAAACAAGTGTCCGCGGGCAAGGACGAACTTAAACGCGTTGAACCAATGTAGCAGGATTTCTGTATTCAGAAAAAAAAATTATTATTGTTTACTCCAGAACTGGTACCGCCGCCCAGAGAGTCGCTTTCCAAGGAGAAGATCCTGTCAGAAAGAGGAGGAGCCTATCGCCCAGAGAGTCGCTTTCCAAGGAGAAGATCCTGTCAGAAAGAGGAGGAGCCTATCGCCCAGAGAGTCGCTTTCCAAGGAGAAGATCCTGTCAGAAAGAGGAGGAGCCTATTTGATATGTTCAGACAAATTTATCCAGGTATTATAAGTTAAATTGCTTTGCATTATTTCAAGTAGAATCAAAGATGACAGCTTTACAGCTGTTTATGTATAATGCTTTTACCATATTGTCCACTATACAGATTTTTTTTGTATAAAGAAAACGGTCGAGGTGGAGAGAAAATGATGTTTCTTTTTTTTACTTTAAACACATTAATTTTAAAAGCTGATTTCTTTTTTTTTAAATTAAAAAAAAAAATCTTTTATGTACACAATAACCATTTATCATGTGTCAGTCGAGAGAATTTTGCCTTTGGGTATTTGGTCCTTTCAAATCTATTATTAAATAGATCTATTATTTACTTTTATCGTTCAATCTCAACATTTCGGTTCACAAGTTAATCCGCCATAAAGATCCTGGCTTTAATTGAAAACTTTTCATTCTGTGGTATAAATGTTGTTTGGCTCTCGGTTAAATCCGTAAAAAGTCCTTCACGTCTGCTAGTTTTTCCTGTTTCGATTTGTTTAAATTTACCTTTCAAATGGATAATTTAAGATTTTTAAAAAATAAATGGTATGATGATTAATTTATGTATGAGCCTAGTTATAATCAAATGTTGCTCAATTATTCTAAAAGGTTATACCTTTATAGAGGATGTCATAACGAGCTTACAGACGTAGTACTAAGTATCGTGGCCAGAGAGTTAATCTCACATGCTCATAATTGTAGAGCAGTGGTTCTCAACCTCCCTGAAGCCGCGACCCTTTAATACATTTCCTCGTGTTGTGGTGACCCCCAACCATAAAATTATTTTCATTGCTCCTTCATAATAATTTCCTATGGTCTTGAGCGACCCTGTGTAAGGGTCGTTTGACACCCAAAGGTGTCGCGACCCACGGTTTGAGAACCACTGTTTTAGAGGAACCCATTCAATTCATTTGTGACTCTAAGAAATTTTCTTCTGTTCTTAGTGGTTTCTGTAAAAGAGACGACTCCTAAAACATCCTCTGTCAATCTGGTCTTTCTTATATTATATAGTGACATAAATTGTATGTTTATGGAATAATATTAGTTTTAAAAATACGATGAGTGACTGCAACATTATTTTACACCGCAGGAACAAAGTGGTGCGGCTCAGGCAACATCGCCGAGCATGCGGATGACAGGGGGCGCTTCGATGACACGGACTCGTGCTGCCACCAACATGATCAGTGTCGGTTGACGCTTTCAGGCGGAGAGGTGCTGCACGGCATACGGAATCCGAAGTCGTATACAGTGTAAGTTAGTCCTTGCTGGGAGATGACGTGTAGCTGGAACTAGGGCCGTGGCGACTACGAGCGGCGCATGAAAATGCCTCCCCCCCCTCCCACACACACTTTTTTTCATGAAAAACTAAAATATGATACAGGCATTATATAATATTTAATATATAACGTATAAGGCCTAAATCACATAAACTGCAACTTACGACCATTCCACTTTACGACCACAATCACAAGCCATATTAATATTAGATTTCAGATTTATTTCTGCCTCATTATCAGACGAACGGCGTTGCCTGCAATCATCGGCGGTCGTTAACTAAGGAAAGGGAGGCATGATGCTATGATGATGCTATGATGATGCTATGATGATGCTATGATGATGCTATGATGATGCTATGATGATGCTATGATGATGCTATGATGATGCTATGATGATGCTATGATGATGCTATGATGATGCTATGATGATGCTATGATGATGCTATGATGATGCTATGATGATGCTATGATGATGCTATGATGATGCTATGATGATGCTATGATGATGCTATGATGATGCTATGATGATGCTATGATGATGCTATGATGATGCTATGATGATGCTATGATGATGCTNGGGGGGGGGGGGGGTCCCGAGCTACCCATCATTTCTTTTATATAATGCGGAGATGCATTTTGGCGCATATCAGAATTTATTTGAACATCGAAGGTTTACAAGCAAAAGTAAGGTGATGGGTCTGAGAAGGGGGCCCATTGAGCCTGTCCTGAGTAAAATTTGATAAATTTAAAAAATAAATAAATTAGGATGCATTTGGGCGCATACCTACATAAAGTTTTCATCATGAATTTTTGCTTTTCGTCTTTTAATCCAATAATTAAATTTATTTTCGTTTCTTTAACCGAAAATGCCGCCCCTCACATCTATTTTTTTTAAAAAGCCCGGAGCGGATCGTCTCCCCTTCCTAGGGGATGTGTGCTTTTTTTATATACATGTATTTAATAAATAACGATCTAGGCGTCCCGCTGAGGCTGGCGCCTGGATGGGGTGGCCGCCCCCCTCGCACAGCCCTCACTGAAACCCAACCGTACTATTGTGGTATATTTTTTATTGTATGTGCTTGTGGTGCACCCATGTATGTGCGTTTATGCGTGTATACGTGTGCACCTATGAATGTAAGGGTGGCGAATGTGTATGATTTACGTGTAGTGTTTGTGGGGGTGGACAGGGCCGGATTAAGGTGGGTGCTAATGATGCTGCAGCATTAGGCCCATCTCTGCGATAAGCACTCATGATTTTTTTTCTCCAGTTTTCACTCCTTTTGTCAACTTAATATTTTAAAAATGAATATTGCGTCTATTCAGTTCGAGTGGAGTTGGCATTTCGCACAAGGTGGCTTTTTTGTTTTTCATTATTTGGATAGGTGGTATTTTCGACCAACTGCAGAGGGTTTTGTTTTCGAGGAACGGGGTACGACAAATTTCTTGTCCCGTGTAAAGGACTTGCCCGTGCACTTAAGAGGGGGCATTTTCCACATTTCGCTACCCCCCCCCCGGGGGCCGATTTTTCTCGACGCGGCCCTGCTAGCTACACCACTGCTTCTCCAAACATTCCTTAAAGGTGATGCATGCGGTTTTTTTTTAGAGGGTTTTGTTTTCGAGGAACGGGGTACGACAAATTTCTTGTCCCGTGTAAAGGACTTGCCCGTGCACTTAAGAGGGGGCATTTTCCACATTTCGCTCCCCCCCCCCCGGGTGCCGATTTTCCTCGACGCGGCCCTGCTAGCTACACCACTGCTTCTACAAACATTCCTTAAAGATGATGCATGCGTTTTTTTTTTCAATGATGTTTTCATGACGTCAACAGGAGCAGCTGCGAGTGTGACACAAGATTCCGCGCATGTCTGCAGGAAGTGGCCAGCTTTGTCTCCCTTCAAGTGGGAACTCTCTTCTTCAACATCATCCAAGTGCCCTGTTTCGAGATGAATCCATCAGAAGGGTAAGTCGGAGCCGTTGTGTAGCTTTGCAGGGGTGGATCCGGGGTCGAGATGGGTCAACAGATAATGAATTACATGATGAGTTTCCATTTTTTTATATTAAAAAATAAAAAATTAAGACAAAATAATTTGTTTTAAAGTTTTCATAATTATTTAACAATCCTCAAACTGTGCTCCCACCCTCTCCATAAATAGTATATCCTGTAAAAAAAAATTTAAAAAATAAATGGTCCGCAGGACCAACCGGGTATTTACGGATAGTGACTAACCGAGTATTTACGGATGGTGACTAACCGGGTATTTACGGATGGTGACTAACCGAGTATTTACGGATGGTGACTAATCGGGTATTTACGGATGTTGACCAACCGGGTATTTACGGATGGTGAAAACCGGGTATTTACGGATGGTGAGTAACCGGGTATTTATGGATGGTGAGGAGCCGGGTATTTACGGACGGTGACTAACCGGTTATTTACCGACGGGGACCAAACGGGGTATTTACGGACGGGGACCAAACGGGGTATTTACGGACGGGGACCAACCAGGGTATGTACGGACGGTGACCAATTTGCTATTTACAACAACAACAATAAAAATTAATGGAGGACTACTTTTAATTCCCATTTTGTTTGTAACGTTTATTTGTATTTTTCAACAAATAGCTAAAATGAGCCTAGTATATTTTAGCAATGACTAAACCTACATCTCTGAGGAGCAGAATGTCAGTGTCGAAGTCTTGAGACATTAGCATTTAATTCCATATCATGTTGACCTTCACTATTTAATGCGTTGGGCAGGAGCGTCGTTTCAGCTTTTTTCGGGGGGTGGGGGGGGGGGGGCAAAACAAAAATTGGTCGGCTTATTTAAGTTGATTATTACAGGAGGCGCCACAGCAATTTCAATAAAACCTGCAAATTCGGGAGGGGTGGGGGTGGGGCGAAAATGCCCCTCTCTGCCCTAGACAAATGACGTCCCTGGCGTTGGGTTGTTCATTGTCTTCAATACAGGACACGGGACACGTTTGTTTTTTTTAAATTTAATTAAATGCTTTGAAGTTGGTAGAAGAAGTGAATTCATAATGAATTTTTTAAAATAAAAAATATAAAAAAAAACAATTTCAGAAGAGGCCAGATAGTCCCGTGCAAGCCTTACAGTCAGCAGACGAAGAGCCCAACTATTAGTCAAGTGCTTTCTGGTGAAGCCACTTTCTGGAGCTGGTTGGGTGGCTTGTTTGGTAGAAAATGATTTGTAAAAAAATAAATACATTAAAAAAATTGTTGTCTAAATATAAAAATGAGATGTGGTTGATTAAAATGAGATTCACCCAATGACATGACAACTCGGCGGTAACATCTAGACACGACAGACGTGGATGACATCCTAATTAATCCCCTTAATCTTGCTACTGACCCGCAGTTAGGGCTACCCGGGGCCGGCCACGCCCCACTCCCCACCCCACCCCCAACTAAACTATGAAAAAACTAAATATGGTCGACAAGGCTGCTCCCTAAATGCCAATGCATTCACGTATATGGCGGGGTGGATCCCTTCTTATGGCGTGGCTGCTAAGTTTGACATCCGAACAAATACCATGATGAAGTATTGGAGATGCGGTTGATATTTGATCATGGGAGTGAGAGGTTTGTTCGTGTGGGTGGGTGGGTGGGGGTGGGGGTTAGTATCATACAACTAACTAACACACATATTCTGGTGAAGGTCTGAGATTACTCTCTTATGACCCCGGCTAGTACATCGGCCACCAGCTCCATCTGCTGAGCTGAGCCATGCAACAATTTCCTCACAAAGGAGTTCTCCAACCGCCCTGGCATCCCCTGGGACATCTAGTGAGGGACATTCGGTCAACGGGTGCGCTAGTGTCTCCGGGACCAGGCTGCAATGCCAGCAGGTAGGATCCCTGTTGTTGTGGGACAGATGTCCGGGGGAGCCAGTTTGAGAGGGGCGCCAAAAGAACCAATGTACATTATAAAAATCATTTATTGGTGTAACGGGTGGGGGCAAGATTTTAAGGCCCTTCCTGGGGGTGCTGTTTTTTTTTTTCCTTCGCACGGCCCTGGTCTGAGGCCTGGGGTTACCCCCAAAGTCTTTTAAGATATAAAATGTAAACATGAAATGATAATACAGTAGAGCTACAATGTATTTCCTGACGTCCTACTTTCTATCCATTAAAACTAAGTCCGCATCCAACACTGTATCCACCTGCCGGGACGGGAAATGGTCCAATAACTCCAAGAAATGGATGGACGGTGTGGGAGATGTTTTCAAGTGTTAGCTTACACACAGGACCTTACAGGATGACCTGGTGGAAATACGTAGAGTTTTAACACCGGGGCCTGACGGGGGTTGGAAAAGACGATACTTAACTCTTGAGTGATCCTCGATATCTGTTACCGTGAACTCAGTTAAATACAAATAATCGAACCGCCGATTCTTAGCCCCTAATGAACTGTGGTTATAATAGATCAATAGCAACAGTAGAACCCGGTTATCTCGACCTCGGTAAACTCGCAACCCTGTTATAACGACGTTTTTGAAGCGGAACCGCCAAATTCTCTCTTTTTCTTAGTATTTTTTCCTCGGTTATGTCGATTCTTTTATTTTGCCAAACCCTGATACCTTGAGCACAAAAGGTGGCAATATTTGCCCCTGAACCTCGGTTATCTCGATCCCCATGACCAATCGCCGGCTTAAGAAAGTGTTGTCTAAATATAAAAATGAGATGTGGTTGATTAAAATGAGATGTGGTTGATTAAAATGAGATGTGGTTGATTAAAATGAGATGTGGTTGATTAAAATGAGATGTGGTTGATTAAAATGAGATGTGGTTGATTAAAATGAGATGTGGTTGATTAAAATGAGATGTGGTTGATTAAAATGAGATGTGGTTGATTAAAATGAGATGTGGTTGATTAAAATGAGATGTGGTTGATTAAAATGAGATGTGGTTGATTAAAATGAGATGTGGTTGATTAAAATGAGATGTGGTTGATTAAAATGAGAT